TTTTTTTATACTGGACACGGTAATAATAGGAGGCAGCCCATGCATATGTTCTACACATACCTCTCCGTTCCCTTTGTGTAACAGCACACTCTCTCCCCTGGACAGTGAGGATTTGGTACCCTACCAACATGAGTAACCCCCCTTTTAAAAAATTAAAGTATAATTGACACAGAAAATCCACCCTTTATAATATACAGTTCCATGAGTTTTGACAAACACATACATCATGGAACCAACACCCCAGCCAAGATACAGAACACTTCCATCACCTAAAAAAAAATTCCCTTGTATGATTCCTTTATAATCAACCCCACCACCAGATCCTGGCAACCACAAATCTGTTTTATTTCCCTATAGTTTTGCCTTTTCTATATGTAATATAGATGAAATCACACAGTTTGTATATATTTCTCTTGGGGGGTGGTGTCTCGCTTCTTTTCCTTAACACCTTTGAGATTCAGGCATGCTGTTGCAGGTCACAGTAGCTACTTACTTTTTATTGCTGAGTAGTTGGAAGTCCATTGTCTGGAAGTAGTCCATTGTCATTTCCCACCTGAAAGACATTTGGTTTATTTCTGAAAAGCTTTGGGCAATTATGGATAAAGCTGCTACACATATTCATGTTTTTTTTGTGTGTGTGAACACACGTTTTCATTTCTCTGAGACAAATACCCAGGACTGAGACGGCTGAGTCTCACAGCAAATGTTTGTTTCCATTTCTAAGAGATGCCAAACTGTATTCCAAAGTGGCTGGACAAATATGCATTCCCACCAGCAACATACAAAAGTTCCAGTTGCTCCACATCCTTGCCAGTACTTGACATTGTCAGTTTTGGGGGGGGGGTTTGTTTTTAATTGAGCCTTTCTCACTGGTGTATAATGGTATGTGTGGTTTAATTTGCATTTGCCTACTGACTAATGATGTTGAGTGTTTTTTCATGTGCTTAATTGCCATCCATATATCGTCTCTGAAAGAAGTATTTGTGTGAATCTTTTGCCATCCAATCTTTAAATGGGTTGCTTGTTTTCTTATTATTGAGTTTTGAGAGTTATAGATGTCATACCAGGAGCTCAAAGTTTGTTGATATTGTTGGGGGCCAGTAGTGACTGGCTGTATTGGCTTTGATGGAAGATTCATCCACAGTCTCCATCTGTCCCACCGTGGACACATTGCTAGGGGTCTTTGAGCCAGTGCACGGTGGGATTGGAATGGGGGTGCTGAGGAAGGAGGCTGGCTAGCATTCACAGCGTGAATCATCCTGTCCAACTGATGTTAAAAGACTCTGTAGTAGCAGGCCTCTGGAGTACATTCTCATTGAACCCAAATACTCTCTAGTTTGTGCCCCTATTCTGAAGGCTCCCTTTCCCCAAACTTTTACTTAACTCTCCAAACTTACTCTAAGATAATGACCATATGACTGGTCCATTATCTGCTGCCCACAAAGTGGTGTTCATCTGTACCTTAGGCCCTCTCCCCTTACGGGAGAGTTGGTACATTTCCTGAGGTGCCATAACAAATTATTACAAACTAGGTGGCTTAAAACAACAAATTTGTTCACTTATAATTCTGGAGGTCAGAAGTTGAAATCAAGGTGTCAGCAGGGCTGCACTCCCTGCAGAGGCTCTAGGGAAGGATCCATTCCCCACCCCTTCTAGCTTCTGGTGGTTGCCAGCTTCCTTGGCTGTGGCTGCATCATTCTAGTCCCTGCCTCCATAGGCATGTCGCCTTTTCTTCTTTGTCTTCTTGTCTGTGTCTCTTAGAAGGACACTTGTCATTGGATTTAGGACCCCCCCCCCGAGATAATCTGATAGGATCTCCTTATCTCAAAATCCTCAATTTAATTATATCTGCAAAGAACCCTCTTCCAAATAATGTAGCATCATAGGTTCTGGGGATTAGGATGTGTTGATCGATCTTTTGGGGATAGATAGTTACAGCACTTGAAGTTCTACCTTCCATGAATATTTCCCTTCCCTGCTGTCCTCAGGACCTTCCCATGGAGGGTGGGATGTCATGCCACAGCAATCCATCATTACCTGGTGCCAGCATGCTCTCTCTAGAGCAGGCCGAGGAAGGGGCTTCAATTCCACAGTGAGAGAAGAGGCTCAACATCCCCCCGCAGGACCCACACAGCAGGGTATCACCCGCACATAGGAAGGAGGTTAGGAGGCTGGTCAGCCAAAACCAAAAACAATGTGACAAAGGTCCACTAGAGACAGGAGCCACCACCCCTGCACCTTTCCAGGCATTGATAGTGACTGATTTCTACAGCTCCCATGGGCACATAATACTGTTTTTGATTTATTATTTGGAGAGTGAGAGGGAGCACCAGGGGCATGGGCTTAGCTCTTCCTAGTATATTACCCTTTAGCTCAAGGGTCAGGGGGCCAAGGTGAGGATTCTACCAGTTCCTGAGGTGATCTGGTCTAACCATTCAGGAGCATGGGATGGGTTAAAGGCCTTGCAGTTCAGTCCTTTCATACACCTGAATCTTATTTTAAGGGTCCTATGCCCTCTAGCAACAAGACTTAATGAATTCTTTGAGCCATTGCACATAAAGGTCTTGCAATTCATTTTATTCCTTGAATCAATAATCTAGACAACTGGGCTTGTCTTGCTTGACATTATTCATTGCCTTTATAAGCAGTCACCCTACTCTGTGTTCCTGATTTCGTCATTACCTTTAAATCTGTCTGTGGCCAAAGCTACTCAGTTCCCCAGAACTTGACCCCCGAGGGCACCTGATCCCTATTTTCTGCAGCTGATAATTTGATTAGCTGCTTCTCCTCTCCGTATCATGGGCTGCGGTTTTCCCAACTCCAGACATAAACAGGAATATCAGAGTCTTTTGTCTGAAGCCTGGGCCTGAAACTCCCTTTCTGGTGCTAATATTTGGATCAGGTTAGGGTTCTTTTTTTATTCGGCCTCACAGCTTGCAGGATCTTAGTTCCCTGACCAGAGATTGAACCCGTGCCCTTGCAGTGAAAGTGCTGAGTCCTAACCACTGGACTGCCAGGGAATTTCCCAGATTAGGACTCTTTGATGCCAATAGCGAAAACCTACTCTAGCTAATGAAAGCAAAAAAGAAGGAAATGGAAAGATAGTGGGTGAGTCACAGAGCTGAAGATGGAACAGAGCCACCTGTCTTGGGCGGGGCAGGAATCAAGGTGGCTCTAAAGCTCCCAGTAGCAGGAGTTTATGGATTATCTCTTGAGGATGTTGCCAAGCCCTGACTAAACAATACCTTTTTTTCCTCATGTCAATCCACCACCAATTCAGATTCCCTAGAGAGAGACTGATGGCCTAGCTTGGGTCACACACCCAGACCTGTCTCTAGGGTCTGTGTGCCCTGTGATTGGCTATCCCACCAGAACCTCAGAAAGCAAGAGAGCCTTCTCTCAGAGGCAGGGGAAGTTCTGCTGGTCAGGCCAAACAAAGAATGTCCATCAGCTCCTAAGAGCTTGGCCCCAGGTTAGGGCCTTTTCTGAATGGGGGAACATACAGCCCCTGCTCTGGGGAAGCTCCCAGTCTGATGGTGGAGACACAGGCCATGCCTTGATGAACTTCCAGTCTGATGGCAAAGACTGGTCACAAAACCAGAGATTTAAGAGGAGGAGGAAACATAGGTAACAGCACAAATATGTTTAATGCAAGGTTCTTTTTAATAGTGAAAAATTGGAAACTGTCAAAATACCCCCAAAGGGGAGAATAATTAAACAATTATTACATAAAGACTAAAATCATGTTTTAGAAAAACTAGTAATGTGAGAAAAAAATTGGATGCTAAATACGTGTACATTATTATCCAACTGTGTAAAGCAGTATGTCCAGGAGGAGGGAAATACACCAATATGTTAACAGAGGTAATAATAATAACAATAGTAATAGTAATAGTAATAATACTAATAAACATTTCTGAGCACTTATATATGTGAGGCCCTGGGCTAAACATTTTACATATGTTATTTTACCTAACCGTTATGTGACAGATACTATTATCATCCCCATCTTATAGATGAATAAACTGAGGCTTGGGAAAGTTACATCCTTAGGTAACAAGTGGCTGACTCAAATCCAGACCTGCCTAAAGCTCCCAGTTTGGGGTTATGAGTGATTTTTATTCTTTTATGTAACCTTCTTGAATTTTTCTATATACTAATCATGTATTTACCTATAAATTCAGGAAAAATATAGATATTTTGAAAAAGAGGGGAAAAAAGGAAATATGCAGGGGGGTGAGGGAGGGATGGACTGGGAGTTTGGGGTTAGTAGATGCAAACTATTACATATAGAATGGATCAGCAACAAGGTCCTACTGTATAGCACAGGGAACTATATTCAATGTCCTGGGATAAACCATAATGGAAAAGAATTAAAAAAGAATGTGTATATGTGTATAACCGGGTCACTTTTGCTGTACAGCAGAAATTAACACAACATTGTAAATCAACTATACTTCAATAAAAAATAAATTTAAAAAAAGAAATAGGCAACAAAAATATAAACAAGAGGAGAAAGACATTGTATTGAACAAAAAGCCTATGTTAAGGTCTGAGAAGGCTCATAAGAACTGTTCTTTACTTTGTAGTTTCTATTATCACCCTATCAGTCTGCATTGCAAATACACATATATTTACATATATGTAAATACCTCACGGTCCTTGAGAGCAGGGGCTCTGTCCTTTTTATTCTCTGGTTCTTGCTGAGGGAAGATATCCTCCAACATAGGGCGTAGTACACAATAGGCTCTTAGTAATTGTCGACTGAGTGATAGGGACGAGAAACCAGTGACCCGGAAGGCGTTGCTGGCCTCCGGGGTATTGGAGGTTCCGGGAGGATGACTAGGGGGCCAGGGAGCGGTGGGATGGGATACGGACTGCGCTCAAGAATCGCTTTTGCGGCTGGAAACCAAGGGAGAGGAATGTGACAACCGCAGCCTCACGCCTTCAATTCTTGCCTTCCCTGCTCAGGAGGGTGAAGGGGGGCCTTGATTCCCAGTGGCGGGGGTGTGCAGTGGGTAGGTCGGCCGCTCTGCACCTATCTCTGCCCAGAGTCCCGAGGCGCTGGCCACGGTGCTGAAAGCAGTGCTCTCGGAGGAGGGAGGGAGGAGGAGCCGGGCCGCGCGAAGGGGGCGGAGCTCTCTGGTGCTCTCAGCTGGCATTGGGGGCGGGGCAGGGCGGCGCCAGCAGGCCCGAGACCACGGCGGGTTTGAGAGGAGGTAGGAGACAGGAGACAGCCCGGCTAGAGCAAGAGGGGACACAGGCACCTGGACAAGCTTCCCCTGAAGAGGCCAAGGTCATCTTCCCTGTCCTATTAGTCCTCTTTTTCTACCTTGGAGGGAGCCTTACCTCGTGCCCTGACCTCCGCCTTCTCTCCAAACCTGGCTGAGGGGTGACCCACTTCCGGGCCTCCATCCATCCGCAAAGCCACTTCCAGCCCACAAGTCCCCAGCCCAGGACGCAGTGCCCTCACCATGGTGAAGTTGCTGCCTGCCCAGGAGGCAGCCAGGATCTACCATACCAACTATGTGCGGAACTCGAGGGCCGTAGGTGTGATGTGGGGCACGCTCACCATCTGCTTCTCCGTGCTGGTCATGGCGCTCTTCATCCAGCCCTACTGGATAGGTGACAGCGTCAGCACACCCCAGGCAGGCTACTTTGGCCTTTTCTCCTACTGCGTGGGCAACGTGCTGTCGTCTGAGCTTATCTGCAAGGGTGGCCCGCTGGACTTCTCCTCCATCCCCTCTAGAGCCTTCAAGACTGCCATGTTCTTTGTGGCCTTGGCCATGTTCCTCATCATTGGCTCCATCGTCTGCTTCAGCCTGTTCTTCGTCTGCAACACGGCCACTGTCTACAAGATCTGCGCATGGATGCAGCTGGCTGCGGGTGAGCAGGAATAGCAGGAGGGGTAGCGGGAGGGCAGGCAGGGGCCCACCTTCTGTGGAGTCTCTGAGCCTCCTACTCAGCTGTCCTCCTTTATCGCGCAGCCATACTCAATGCCCTGCAGATGGCTTGGAAGAGTAATTAGAGAGTCTTAGGATGGCTGAGACCAGAAAGGCCTTAGAGATCAAATTGTTCAACCTCCTCTTCCTGTAGATGAGGAACTGAGGTCAAGAGAGGGGAAATGATTTGCCCAGGAGCAAGTCACTTATGGTAGAGTGAAGGTCTTTGTTCCCTAATTATAGGATTCCATACTTGATGCAGCAAGTGTGAGCATTTGAGGCAGCAAGTGGAAGTGATATTTTGTGATGGGGGAGGGGAATAGGGTCTTTTAGAACTATGTGGGGTAGGTGGCTACTGGTGGTGTTCAGAGGCAAGGCCTTCCCTGTCCCCCTTTTCCTGCTCCTGGCCCCAGGCAGGCCACTGGGTCCTTGGGCCAGCTGGTCCTGCTCTCCTCTAGAGCCCAGAAAGGGATGCCTAAGACCTTGTCCTGCAGCCCTTGGTCCCTCCAAGGACCACACACAGACTGTCCATACTAGGGAAACGTCCAGGAGCCTTGTTAGGGACTGAAGGCTAGAGTGAAATCATCTTGACATCATTGGTTAGAATGAGAAGCAGTGTTAACAGGGAGAATGGAATAGGGATCAGAATCCCATACAACCAAACATGTAGACTCAAGACTGTCAGAGTTGGAGGGGACCCTAGAGAGCTATAGCATCCTCCCCCCAACTATAGATGAGGAATCTGGGACTGAGAGAGAAGATAAGACTTAGCCAATGCTACAGCAGATCATCTGGCAACAAAGACAATAGAATAAAGGCAGTGAGTCCCAAGAACTAGCTGTATTCCAAAGACATTTTTTATTGAGGCACACATTTACATAAGTGTAATGATTTGTAAAGTACTTTCACATGTATCATCTGGAGGAGCCTCATCATGACACAGTGAGGTGGGTTTTCCTCCTGTTTTACAGAAGAGGCTCTTAGCCGGTAACTTGTCTTTTAGCACACAGAACCTTCGACTCTGAATCTTGTACTCCGGCTACTTACCTGGTTCCAGAGCTGCCTCCCCAATCCCCCTGCCATCTCTCTCTCTCTCTGTACTCCGTCTATATGGTGAGGGAGAGGCTGGGGCAGGGATGAGGCAAGTCTCAGTGGACAGTGGGGAGGAAGAAGGGAGAATGAAGATTTAGCAGTTCTGTGACAAAGAGGAGTAGAATGGACCCTGGCACGCTTGCCAGCTGGTCCTCTGTATCAGAGCTATGGGATGCTGGAAACACAACCCTCCCTCTCCCATTCTCTCCACTGTCCCACTCCCCCAACCTCCTGCAACAGGTGCCATTTGCTGAACAGGCAGTGCTGGGAGGGCCTGGGTAGGGGAGGGGTCACCAGGCCATTTGAGTCAGACCCTGTCTGGGTCATGCAGCTGAAGACACCGATAGCAGAAGTGGCCAGGTGCCATCCCATGAAACATTTACGCTGGGGGAGAGCAAAGGTGGTGTCGTGTTCCATTCTTCCGTGCTGGGGAAGGGAAGATGAGCCAAAGGGAGGGGTGAGGAGGAGGTGTGCCCCACAGCCAGCAGCTGGGAGATTCCTCCATTTGAAGAGACCTAAACCAGTTGGCTTAACCTTGCCAAGAAGCCTGGGGCCAGGGAAGGGAGCAGCAGAAGGGAAGGAGGACTGAGGAACGGGGCAGGGTGGGGCTGTAGCTTAACAAAGCTAATTGAGCTTCTGGATGCCAGGTGTAGGCAGAATGTGGTCCCAGATCCTGAAAACACAGGTAGGGCAATTTGCTTGTCTGAGTTCTATTAAAATCATCTGTAGAAGGTAGCAACAGTACCCCCATCACAGGGTTCTTGCGAGGATGGGATGTTGTAATGCATGGAAAACACCTTGCACGGTGCCTGACACATGGTAGGTGCTCAGTAAACAAGAAAAACACAAAACAACTTTATCAGTCAGGATGGATGGGGTGATGCCACAGTAACAGACAACTCCCAAATCTTAGCGGCTTATGACAAAGGTTTATTTCTTGATAATGGTACACGCTCACTGAGGATCAGTGGAGGGCTCTGCTCTCACTGGGCTCTTCCAGAGCCCAGGCTGATGGAGCATCAGCTGTCATCTGGCTGTCATCATTGTGAAGGGAAAGGGAGCTCTGTAAAGTCTCCATCAGCAGTTAAATGCTCTGGCCTGGAAAAGCACACGGCATTTCTGCTCACGTTTTATTGGCTGAAGGAATTTTTATGAACTTGCCTAACTTCAAGGGAGAGAGGCGAGGAAGTATAATCCTACTATGTACCTGAAATACTTGTAAACAGATCTAATGACAGCCACATCCATCGAGGTTGCTTCCATCTGACTTCAATGCCAATAATAATATCAACAACTAACATTAATTGGCCACTTACCATGTACCAGACACTGCAGTAAGCACTTTCTATACATGATCACGCTTAACCCTCATAACCTTGTTCCGAGTCAGGTATTATTATCCTTATTTTACAGATGAGAAACTGGAAGTCAGAGAGGGTAAGTAAACTTGCCTGAGAATACCCTGCTGGCCTCTATTTAGAGCCCTGAGACACCACGATGGGATGGACCCCCACTGTGCCCAGGTAGATGGGTGGGGTGCTCCTAGAGGGCTGTGGCACCCATAGTAACAACCTTTTTCCAAGTCGGAGGCCCTGGGATCTTTTCTGAACCCCTGTAGGGAGGTGCTATAGAAGGAGAAGGGGGCCATGCCAGGTACCAGAGGACTTGTCACACACCACGTGGGGAAGAGCACAGGTTTTACCAAAGAGCTCTGGGAGGGTCCCCCTCCTCCATCCTAAGGATCTTCCTGTTTGTCACTAAGTCTAAAATGTCACCACTAAATACATTTGGCTCTTTGGAGAGATGTCAGTCTGGGAGGCTGGGGGAATTAACTTTGAAGTAAAGAAAGTCAGGAGCCATGATAGCAGGTCTTGGCTCTGCCCTCGCTAAATGACTGGGCAACTCACTCGGTTTCTGAGACCTCAGTCTTTTAATCTGAAGATGGGATATTAATACATGGCCTACTTCACAGAACTGTGGTAAGGGTCGAGAGAAAAATGGTACATGAAGTATTTTGTAATCTATAAGAGAAGTATGTAAATGAGCTCCTCCTAGAAAAAAACAAGGACGGTTGATATATTTACGTGGGGAGGTGGGATCCTTGATCTTTACACTTCGTTGTGCTTTTGTTTGATCTGCTAACCTTCCTTGCAAGAACGAGTGGAGCCCCAGGTTGGTGACTTTGGGTCCTGCGAGGTGCTTCTCCATGGGGCTCCCAGGTAGGGCACAGCTTTGGGACTAAAGAGCCTCCAGGCCTGTGAAAGGGGGGCCAGGGGTGGGAAAGTGGCACAGACAAGGGAAGGAAGGCACCCCCTGCCTGCCTGGTGGTTGTCCTTGGGTTGCCCCAGTCACATCCCAGGAATATGTACCTGTCTGGGCAGCTAAGTTGGGGTGGAAATTTGGTGGGCGGGTGTGGGAGTAGTGGAGGGAAGGCGGGGAAGATGAAATTTTTGGCTGTCAATGCTAAATCAATGAAAGCACAGTGTGGCATACTAGCTAACACTCAGGAAATGCCAACTATGTGTCAGGCAAGCTTCTGAGCACTTTTCCAATATTAACTCATTGTAACCTCGCTGCAATCCAAACAGGTAGATACTATTATTATTCCCATTTTACAGATGAGGAAACTGAGGCAAGAAAACTTAAGTAGCTTGCTCTGAGTCACACAGCTAGTTAGTAAAGAGCTGGGCTTGAGATCCAGGCAGCCTTCCCTAGTGTTTCCCAGCTTTTCCTGTTGAGAGAATCACCCAGAAGAGTGCTTTTAAAGACAGGGATTCCTGAACCCAACCCTGACCTGGGAATCAGCATTTTAAACACATTCAGGGAAGTGTGGAAAACTGCACTGTTCCGTAGTGGGTAATAGTGTGGAGACCTGTTTGCTTGAATGGAAGGTTCATGAAGGAAGCTGCCAGAGATGGGGCTGGAAAACTTCCTGTATTCATTCAATCTAAGATACCTGAGTTGTAGGACACACCATTATTCTATGTGCTGTAAAAAGGAAAAATACTTCTAATCAAATTGTAGCCTAAAGCTTTGTTATTACACTTATTTCAGAGATGTTGGAGTATGAACAAATGTACATCTGAGGAGTGATGAGTTCTCTGGGCTGGGACCAGATTTTGGGAGGACTTTGAAGCCAGGTGCCTCGTCAAGTCCAAAGTGAGGGGTACAGCTGAGGGCCTGGTAGAACCACCTGGTGCTGTGGCAGAACCTCCCAGGGCTGAGGAGCTCTGCTCTCAGCCTCCACCCCTGACCACTGGCCCCCAGGGGCAAGTAGCTTTAGCTCTTGGAGCCTCAGTTTTCTCCCCCGTGTTCTACAAGAAGGATGGCAGGAGCTGCCCCTTGTGCCTCTCAAGGCTGTTAATAAGAGAAGAAGGGAGGTGACACGATGACAGCAGTGCAAGGTGGGAGGCAGCAGGCGAGCACACCCAGCTTGACACCATCTGTACCCCTCCTGCCCCCTCAGCCACAGGCCTGATGATTGGCTGCCTGGTCTACCCAGATGGTTGGGACTCAAGTGAGGTACGGCGCATGTGTGGGGAGCAGACCGGCAAATACACACTGGGCCACTGCACCATCCGCTGGGCCTTCATGCTGGCCATCCTCAGCATTGGAGACGCCCTCATCCTCTCCTTCCTGGCCTTTGTGCTGGGCTACCGCCAGGACAAGCTGCTCCCTGATGACTATAAGGCCGATGGACAAGGTAATTCTCTCTACCCCAGGGAGGTGAGGCTTCCTCTCTGCCAGGTGCCTGAGGTTTGGCCACTGGCCAAGGGTGGGGACACCAAGACCGATCAAACACAGCCCTTGTCGCAGATGCCAAGGGCCAGTGGAGGGTTGCAGGCTGGCAGGTGATAAGGCATTGACAGACCTATGTGGCAGAGGCTGTCTGTGATAGAAATGTGTCCCCCTGTCCCCCTGCACTCGCAGGGCCTACAGGGGAGAGAGCCCTGGTCCAGCTTGGGGAGCCAGGTGTGGCCTCCCATAGGTGGCACTGAGGCTGGGTCTTGAAATAACAGGGGAGTTTGCTAGATGGAGAGAGGAACAACAGGGGAGCAAAGGGGATGATGAGTTGTTGGGGAAGGAGGAAAGGCAAGTTAGGGCAGAGATGTGACAGCTCCTGGACTGCAGATGGTGGGAGCCTAGCCCCTTGGGTTAGAGTAGCCTGGGGGTTCTCCATATATCCATTTTCTGATCTGAGCCTCATTTCCCCTCATTAGAGGGTAGGAGGCAGGTTTTTCTTCATTTGTAAAAAATCCCTACTTCACAAGATTGTACTCAGGAACAAGATAAGGATGTCTGCTCTTGTCACTTCTATTGAAGATTGTACTGGAGGTTACAGCCAGGAAAATTAGTTGAGAAAAAGAAATAAAAGACATCTATTTTGGAGAAGAAGAAAAACTATCTCTATTAGCAGATGACATGATTTTGTATATGGAAAATCCTAAATAAGCCACTAAAAAACTATTAAAGCTAACATACAACTTCAGCAAGGCTGCAGAATGTAAGAACAATATACAAAAATGTATTTGTATACACTAACAATGAACAATCTGAAAATGACATTAAAAAATTTCTTTTGCAATAGCAACAAAAAGAATAAAGTACTTAGGAATAAATTTAACAAAAAAGTAAATGAAATGTACATGAAAATTAAAAAACATTGTTTAAAGAAAAGGCCTAAGTAAATGGAAACATCCATGTTCATGGATCAGAAGACTTAATATTGCTGACATGTCAATACTCCCCAAACTGATCTACAGATTTAATGCAACTCCTATCAAAATCCCAGCTGGCTTTTTGATTTTAGGATTGGCTTGTCAATTGGAAATGCAAGAGACCCAGAATAGCCAAAACAATCTTGAAGAAGAACAAAGTTGGAGGACACACATGTCCTGATTTCAAAACTTACTAGAGGGGCTTCCCTGGTGGCGCAGTGGTTGAGAGTCCGCCTGCCGATGCAGGGGACACGGGTTTGTGCCCCGGTCCGGGAAGATCCCACATGCCGCGGAGTGGCTATGCCTGTGAGCCATGGCCGCTGAGTCTGCGCGTCTGGAGCCTGTGCTCCGCAAAGGGAGACGCCACAACAGTGAGAGGACAGCGTACCGCAAAAAAAAAAAAAAAAAAAAAAAAACTTACTAGAAAGATACAATAATCAAGACGGTGTGGTACTGACATACAGATAGACATACAGATCAATGGAATAAAATAGAGTCCAGAAATAAAACCAAACATCTACGACCAACTGATTTCAGCAAGGGTGCCCAAGACAATTCAATGGGAAAAAGAATAGTCTTTTCAATAAATGGTGCTGGGACAACCAGATATCTACATGCAAAAGAATGAAGTTGGGCCACCTACCACACATCATATACAAAAATTAACTCAAAATGGATCAAAGACCTAAATGTAAGATATAAAATTATAAAACTCTTAGATCTTGGATTAGGCAATGGTTTCCTAGATTTGACACCTAATACACAAGTACCAAATAAAAAAATAAACTAGATTTCATCAAAATTGAAAACTTTTTTTTTTTTCCCATACACGGTCCTCTCACTGTTGTGGCCTCTCCCATTGCAGAGCACAGGCTCTGGACGCGCAGGCTCAGCGGCCATGGCTCACGGGCCTAGCTGCTCTGTGGCACATGGGATCTTCCCAGACCGGGGCACGAACCCGTGTCCCCTGCATCGGCAGGCGGACTCTCAACCACTGCGCCACCAGGGAAGCCCCAAACTGAAAACTTTGTGCTTCGAAGTACACCATCATGAAAGTGATAAGACAACCCATAGATTGGGAGAAAATATTTGCAAATCATAATCATAATGCTAGTATCCAGAGTATATTAAGAACTCCTACAACTCCACAATAATAAAAAATAACCCAATTTTTTAAATGGGCAAAGGATTTTTTTTTTAAGTATACAGTTTTAATTAATTAATTTATTTGGCTGCACCGGGTCTTCGTTGCAGCACGCGGGATCTTCGTTGCCGTGTGCAGGGTTTTAGCTGTGGCATGCGGGCTCTTAGTTGCAGCATGCGGGATCTAGTTCCCTGACCAGGGATCCAACCTGGGCTCCCTGCATTGAGAGCATGGAGTATTAACCACTGGGGAAGTTCCAAATGGGCAAAGGATTTGAATAGACTTTTCTTCAAAGAAGATATACAAATGGCCAAAAAGCACGTGAGAAGATACTCAACATCGTTAGTCATTATGAAAATGCAAATCAAAACCACAATGAGATATCACTTCACACCCACTAGGATGGCTGTAACAAAAAAGATGAACAATAACGAGTACTGATGAGCATGTGGAGAAATTGGAATCCTCGTACGTTGCTATAGAAAATGTAAAATTGTGCAGTTGCTGTAGAAAACAGAATGGCAGTTCTTCAAATGATTAAACACAGAGTTACCACGTGACCCAGCAATTCCACTCCTAGGTATATACACAAGAAAATTGAAAACATATGTTCACACAAAAACTTGTACACATGTTCATAGTAGCATAACAGTCATGCATATGATGACTGAATGGACATAATGTGTATATCCATACAATGAGTTATTATTCAGCCATAAAAAGGAATGAAGTACTGGTAATTGCTATAGTGTGGAAGAAAACACTGAAGCCAGATACAAAAGACCAGATACTGTATGACCCCGTTTACATGAAATGTTCAGAACTGGCAAATGCACAGAGACAGGAAGTAAATTGTAGTATTTCCCCGGGGCTGGGAAGGGGGGAATTGGGAGTGATTGCTAAAGTTCACAGGGTTTGGGGCTGAGGAAAATGTTCTAGAAGCAGATAGTAGTGATGGCTGCACGGTGTAGTGACTACACTGAAACCCACTGAGCTGTATGTACTGTAAATGAGTAAATGTTACGTTAGTAGATTATACCTCAAAACAATAAAAGATTGTGCTGAGGATTAGATAGCGTATATAAAGCACCAACAGTACCTGCATATTTCAGGTGATGAATAAATGTTAGTTCTCTCCACCTTCTGTCTTTCCAGTACCTCCACTCTTTATATCATCCATCTGCCCAGCCAATAATAGGACCTGTGCTCCAGGCGCCCACTGACACCTTTAGGTCCAGGGGGTACAGTGAGGGAGGAAGTCTACATTTGGACCTTGAGTCTAGTAAGGAAGACAATCATGCAAGGTGGAATCACAAGCTGATAAACATTATGAACAAAAAGTGCAAGCTTTCTTGAGAGTGAATAAGAGGAATTTGAACTAGTTTGGAGAGGGAATAGTGTGCAGGGAATTATCCTGAAAACGAGGCTTGGTTGTAAACACGTACTGTTCTCTTTTTTTTTTTTTATCGCAGAGGAAGCCTGAAGCAACAGGAGTGTTGGTGCGTAATTTGATTGGAGAGTGGTCTGTGTTCCTTTGGAAGTGCTGTGGCCTCGCAGAATGACTCAGGAAGCTGGGCTGTAGGGCCTAGGGAGAGAAGGGGTAGGGGGGTGGCTGTGGGGTGGGAGGGGGCAGGAGCTGGCTGGCATCTGAGACCTTCACTGAGGGACAAACAGGAACCCTTTAACTTTGTGTCTTGAGAAGTGGTAAAAGCACAGGGAGAGAAGAAATAATTTAAAACAGGCAGGTGGTTTCATAAACTCATCTTTTTGTGGAGCCTGGCAAACAAGAACAGACTGTTTTTAGAAATCATTATTGTCATTTGGACCCTTATTTTCAGAAAGAAGTTTACGTGATTTTAAGAGACATAGTGGAAAACCTAATAAAATAGAAAATAAAAGTCATAGAGAAGAAAACAAATATTATAGAAAGCTAGGCTAACAGAATTAGTGTATTGAGTATTAAATTTAGCTCCCTGCTCCCTGATAGCTGAAGCAAAAAGCAAAACACGAATTTAACCCATTTTAATGTCTGGTTGAAAACGAAACACATGTTAATTTCCTTATTGTCATTTCAGTTTCTAAAATGTGATTTAACAAGGACATGAAGGAACACCTTTAAAAAGAAAGAAAGGGTGGAGGAGGAGGGAGGGATGGAGGAAGAGAAGGAGTAGCCCACAACAGTATCACCTCCCTGATAGCTGTCATTTATTGAGGACTTACAGCAGGCCAGGCACTTTGTGTGGGTCGCAGGGATTATCTCCATTTAAACTATTTTATTGATCATTTTTGCTAAGAACCTTCCCATCCTTGACCACATAGACATACTTTCTTGAAGAATGATAAATTAGCATTGTCCCTCTCCCCCCGCCCCCACACACACTTATGATTCTTAAATGTTAATGTGCATAGCTCACCTGGGGATCTTGTTAAAATTCAGACTGATTCAGTTGGAGTGGTGCCAAGCACTGCATTTCTAACCAGCTCCCCAGTGATACACTGCTGGGTAGGGGTCACACTTCGAGTAGTAAACAGAGTATAAACGTTTTCTCATGTTTTTGCCATGTTCCTAACTGAAGTTTTTAAAAGCCACAAACTCCACAGCACTGGTGTACCATTTCATTGCTAAATGAGACCTTAGTTAGGCATCTAGCACTGCTATCATAGATAACTTTTTGTTCCTGTTGATAAATTCTGGAGTGGAATTACTGAATCAAAGCTAACTACAGCTGTCTGCTTTTTTCTTTTTTTGCACTACATTTATTTACATCTTAAAAGACGCTTATGAGTTTTTACTTGAGGGACACTGATACTATCTTATATACTAGTGAGGAAGTTTGCATGTCTGGAGTAGAACTGAATCAAAATGTGAGCATACGTGGGGAAGTTTTGTGTTTTTATTGGCTTAAAAAATGTCAAATTCTATAATCTTGCAATCTTTTTTTTTAAATACCACAGGTCATCTGTTTCCCTGACAGTGGAAAATGAGGGAATCAAATTCTTCAGAAACAGAAACTTGTTCCTTCCATGCTTCCCTGTATCTGCTGCTCTAGGCCTGAAATCCTGAAGCCTTTCATTATAGGATGCCAATCTCCTGAGACAAGACCTCTTACTGTATCGGGAAAACTCCAGCGAGGAAGAACTGCAGTGACCACATCCAAGATGTTCAGAGACATGTGTTTAACTCTCCTGACTGGGTACCCACTTTCTCTTCCTATCCTTTCACACCAGCAAATTGCTTTACCCTCTTGAGGCCTCTCCGTAAAATGACAGCAGGATGAGTCTATGTCTAGGGGCCTCCCAGGTGAGTCCCTAACAGTCTAATTCACTGAGGATACTTGTTTGAAAGCACCCAGAAACTGACACCCAGCTCTAAGAGGGCGATGAAGAAGAGGTGGCTGTAAGCATGCTGGATCATTTCAGGTTGAGGTTTAGGGGGTCCTTTGCTTTTTTCTTTTCAGGTTTGTTTTCTTATTGATGCTCAGAGATGGGTAAGGAATGGAGAGGTCACCGGAACCTGAATCCATCAGGATTGGGTGACTTTAGGATCTAAAAACTTTTGAGACTAAATTCTTTTTTCCCTTTGGAACCAAAAATCACACGTTTTCAGTGTCCACACCGACCCAGTCAGAATGGGTTACCAGTTTTGGAAAGTTGTTACTTGTGGCCAAGTAATTTGTTAGAGTAATAGATGAACTCTCCTGTAAAAAATAACAACTTTGGACTTGGTACATTAAATGGTGAATCTTTTACCAGTCTCTAGAGGGGAACTCAATTTAGGTAATACTTCACTGTAGCAAATGCCAAGACAAAGATTAGATTCTTTAGGCTGTTCCCTGCCCTGAGGATGATGGTATGTATTGCAATAGAAACAGGGTTTTGTTGATTATCTGCAGTGAATGATCCAGGAAGAACAGTGCTTTTTTCTGGTCTTTTGCCTGTTTCCTCAGTAAAGAGAAAACGTGGGTGCTGTTTTCTCACAGGTAGAGTGGGTAAATGTCGAACAAAACCGTAATGGATGTTGCTTGATCAACCAGCAGTGACACGGAAAACAGGCTTCTTATTCTGGGCTGCAGGGATTATTCAGAGTGCACTGGTTTAAAAGATGCCTTTTAACCAGTGCACTCTGACAACCTGCCCAGTCAGTGCAGTGTTTCTTCTCCAGTTCAGATAGGCTAGGTATGAGTATCCCAGCATTGTCCCAGTTGTTGATGATGGGGACTATTAGAATGGGATTTAAGTATGATAACTTTCATGTTTTCTTGTGCTGATAAAATTATTTCATTGTCAGGCATCTACTTTATGCAAGCTTTTATTTTTATTTTTGGTTGCGCAGCTTGTGGGATCTTAGTTCCATGACCAGGGATCAAACCTGGGCCGACGGCAGTAAAAGAGGTCTTAACCACTGGACCGCCAGGGAATTCCCTATGCAAGCTTGATGAATGGATGAGTGACAGAATTTGGCCAATTCTGTAGCTTTGTGACTTTTCTAGATAGATTTGTTCAGTTGTTTCTCATAATTTTACTTTTTATAAAAGGCAAAAGAAAAATTTCTAAAAGCCTCCCTAACTTCAAAATATTTCTCACTGAAATGGCAACCCTGGTGGTCCACAGAAGTTTCTGGGGGGCTTAAGGTGCATCTGCCAATAGCCTACACCTTGCTCTCAAGAGCAGTGAGTTTCACCAAAGCAGGAGTGTATGTTTACTAATGACCTGTGCTGGGGACAATCTTAAATCTGTTTGAGTCACATGACTCAGCGTTTCACCTTTTTCTTTATCTTCAAGGAAACTCAGAATTCAACCTCTCCAATAAAGTAATGATTTTGGCTGAAACTTATTAACTGCTTATCAGCCCTTTTCAAGTGGCTTTACCTTTAAATTCTTAAAGATGCCTCAAATATCTTTGAAAGTATACAGAAAAATTAATAAAACCAGCACTCCTCTAAACCAAGTTGAGTTACTCTACTCCTTCCTCTGCCTTGCACTGGAGCACAGGAATGGTTGTGATGCCCAAGATTTACCAGTGACTAGCACTGAGCAGGTCAAGAGGGGTAAGAAGGCCTTATCATTTACATCTGAAATGTGAACCAGAAGGGTGTCTTTCCTAAATGCTTTCATTATCTTGCATCTCTGTATTAGTTACCTGTTGCTGCATAACAAATTACCCCTCGACTCAGTGGCTTAAAACATTTCAGTTTCTGTGGGTTAGGAATCAGCAAGGCTTAGCTAGGTGTCTCTGCCTCAAGGCTTCTCACAGGGCTGCAATTAAGGTGTTGGGTCTGCTTCCAAGCTCAGTGGTTGTCTGCAGGACTCAACTTCTCACAGGTTGTTGGGCCGAAGGCCTGAGTTCCTTGCTGGCCGAGGGCCTCTCCAAAGGGCTATTCACCTGGCAACTTGCTTCCCCAGAGCAAGTCTTCCAAGACAGAGCAAGAGCAGGTGCACAGACAGAAGCACCCTTTGTAACCAAATCTAAGTGACATCCTGCTACTTTTGCCTTAATCTGATTGTTAGAACAATCACAAAGTCCAGCCCTCGTTAAAGGTGAGGGAATTGCACAAGTGTGTGAATACCAGGAGGTGAGAATCATTGGAGTATTTTAAAAAGTTGTTTCTCATAGTTATTTGTAATTAATTTTCTGCTGAAATGGGCATTTACTAGAATGCTTTACTGGAACAAAGATTAGATTCTAGTAACCGTACATGCTGATGGATACATGTTTGTTTTGTAACAAATTGCTGAAGATGAAGGGCCCTAACCCTTAAACTCATCCCACTTTTGCTACCTAACCTCACGTATTTATAGTAGGGTCCACTAATTTCCAACACTGACCATACTTTCCTCTATATTTTTAAGGGCACAACTTCTATGAACATAGCTCAAATTGCAGGCAGCTGATACACTGATAACACAATCCAGTTCTGCCAAATGGGAGGGCAAGGCTTGTTATTGTATTATAATGGGCAACAACTAGATATGAATTAAGGACAAAAGAGAAGATTATGATAAAAAATTGAACCTGGGAGGATATAAAATCAGATTGATCATCTATGTATTGAAAACCCTCATCCCTTTACAAGGAATGGTACAGTCAGTAACAGAGTAGGTACTAATGTAAACTTGCTTACTTAGTTAAAACTTCTAAACACAAAATGATCTCAAATATTGTTTTTTTTTAAAATGAGATATTTCTGAAATCATAAGGACTTGGTGTCAATAAATATTTGCACAAGGACTTAAAAGACAAATGCTTAGCACTTGTTTTAAATTCCACCTTTTAAAAACAAGACTAAAAGTGACATAAAAACAAACTTCCTCCTCAGTAGGTCTCAAGATTCATATATTATCTTTATATAAGTTTAGATATTATCTTTTCATATTGCTTTGAAGACTGAGAAAGAGCTGTAAATTATCAATGCTTTGCTAACTCCAACGGCACCAAATTGGTGGGCAAAACACAAAGGACTGTTGAAACTTCTCTGGTGTCCTAAGACCTTATTTACAGAGTAAATATAAGTTCAGATTCTATTATAAATAAATCATCAATTTTTTGTGATACTCTAAGAGCAAATCACTTTCCTTATAAGGCCAAACTGGAAGACTCTACAGGCGTCAAAAATAAAAGAATGAGCAGTAATGAAGTCGATTTGTAACCTGGGCAGGCTCTGGAGCAGCTAAATGGTCTCCCTGTGGACACTCAGGGCTGTAACTCCACCTCAGTTTGACAGTTCTTTTGAGATAGCTACAAGCTCCCTTAGAACTTAAGTTTTCCAAAACCCTCAGAGTTCAAGGTCCATACATTTAACACAAAGCTTAGAGGAACTGCCTAAGTTCATCAGTCTGATGAACATACTGGTTTGATGAATTCGAATTTAATTTTTTTTGGTTGTTTTTTTAAACAGGTTACATTCTAGTCAACACTACAGTATGAACACACTACATGTCTTAAGCATGGCTCAATTAAAACAAACAGAAAAAAACCAGTTTATGTAGTTCAGGGCTGGAGGACTTTTTATGAATAACATTAAATATACCATAAATAGGAACTTCCCTGGTGGCACAGTGGTTGAGAGTTTGCCTGCCAATGCAGGGGACACGGGTTTGATCCCTGGTCCGGGAAGATGCCACATGCCACGGAGCAACTGAGCCTGTGCTCTAGAGCCTGCAAGCCACAACTACTGAGCCCGTGCGCAACTACTGAAGCCCATGCGCCCTAGAGCCCACACACAACTACTTAAGCCCACATGCTCTAGGGCCCACGTGCCACAACTACTGAGCCTGCGCACCTAGAGCTCGTGCTCTGCAACGAGAAGCCACCGCAACGAGAAGCCTGCACACAGCAACTAGAGAAATGCCTGTGTGCAGCAACAAAGACCCAACACAGCCCAGAAATACCACAAATAAAAATGAAAGGCAAATTAAAAACTGGAAAATGTGATGGAAAAATGACAAAGATGTTACCAAATCATCAAATAGGGAAGCATGCCAAAAGAAAGCTGGGTAATTGTAGGCTAATAACCCAAAACTACAAATGGCCAATAAAACCCATGAAACAAGCTTTTGACTTCACTAGTCATCTAATATGCAAATTAAAACAAGAGATTCCCCTTTTGGGACAATCAAACTGGCTATTAGGAATAAAATGAGTGAGATTACAATAGGCCCATTCAAACACTGTTGGTCATAGCAAAACAGTCCAACTGTTCTCCACGTAAGTTAGGGAACATTTATTAAAAGCCTTAAAAACGTGCTTACTCTCTGCCCCAGCCATTCCATTTCTAAGAATTTATACTGAGGGGTGAATGAGACAAGTATATGAAAACTTGTGTATAATAGTGGTCATCAGTCCAGTGCCTTTGAGTTCACAAAACTTTTGACATTTTGCACTTTGTGATCTGTGGGGGGAAAAAACCCCACAAATACTGCAAAAATGGTATCAAATGTAGGGAATAACAATTTTCTTAGAATTTTCCAAAATGTACTTTGTTAAATCCCACCCCACGCCCAACTTAAAGATAGAAGCAAAGCTACAAACCCCCCAAAATGGCATGTGTTTAAGTTACACAGTTTCATGGCATATTTAAATTCAAAAAGCAACTCAACCAATCCCTTCCTCCATTCTGAAGCTAGGTCAGATCAACTTGGGCAACAAATAAACAGAAATCTCCTGGAAACATGTAGGTTATTAAATAATTTGTTTATTGTACTGCATTTACAAAGAAAACAGACAATGCAACCAGTAGAAAGAATAAAAATGTGTTTGGGGTTTTATTTTTTACTGACAGCAAATAGAAATCCTTTAGTGAGATCCTGGCAATCTGACATTATGATTGAGTTCAGGAAAGGTAGATGGGGTGCTTGGAAGATCAAATTCTACAGCTGCCTCTTTCTACGGCTTTTAATTCATCTGGCTCCTTAAGTGATAGAGGAAAAGCCCTTGTTTGGTGGGAAAACATTTCCAAAAAGTTACAGGTTCTCTTATTAAAATTTCTCTTCATGTCAGTTGTTAAAACAGGGCTTTCTATTTGTATGTGTTTGGTTAGTTCACCTTAATGTCATCACCAGAATCCCTGTAATTCCACAATTGTGATTTTACAGCATAGAAAAGAATTCAGTTCTAGTCTGGTATTGCTTTAGATGTATATATCGCTGAAAACCCAAAGTGGATTAGAATTGCTGAAGGATTTTCCCTGCCGTTGTTTGATACAATCTATTTTCTTTATTCTTGATAGGTGCATAGAACAGCCTCACTTCAAATTCTTTCTATAGGAACATGTCTGATTTCAGAACTATCCATCAAGGATCGATGAATGGCTGGCCAGTTATTCAGGGTAATATGTTTACGAGTTAAACGGATTGCATAATTGCACCACTTTTTCCTTTGCCTTTGTTGGTAGATAAATGACAGAATCTAGATTCCAATCTCCTGTAAAGGAAGTTGGCTACCTAACAGTCTCACCGGTGCTTTGCTAGTAGAGCCTCAAGTTGCACCTCCTTGGCTTTCTGTAAGTCAGAGTCCTGTAGCCGCTTCTGGAGAATGCTGTAATCCCCAAGGCCCACTTGGTCCGTGCAGAACAAGCAGCTGTGACCCCAATCCTGTCCCTCTTTTGCTTTTCAATATGACCCGAGGAATATATGTAATGTCTAGGGCAAGTCTAGGAGAGGCCCATCCTAAAATAATATTCACAACGCCTTTTCTCATTAAAAAAAAAAAAAAAAAAAAAGCCTCAAGTACATTTCAATCATCTCAAAATTTAAAACTTACATTATACAAAGATATAGCAGCAGAGAATGGCTAACCTTAAACCAAACAAAAAGAGGAAAAAAACCCTACAACCCTCAAAATAAACAATAAAAAAAAGTGCCATCCCACCCCCCTCCCCTTGGTTCTTGTATCCTGGGATTTCATTTAAGACCTGAATGAAGCCTCTGAGAAAATGAGAAAGGCAAAGCCGTAGGGGGAAACTGCTTTAAGGCTGAATTCTGGACAAGGTAAAGAAAAAGCTGTAAATAAAAGTTGGGGACTGTTTGTAAAAGAACTGAGAACTCTAGGACAGTTTCTTCTCAGATGGGAAATCTCTGAAATCCAGTTTTCCTTTCTAGAGTCATCCTGAATTCTTTAGTTATGGGGCAATAAACTCAAGTGCAATGAGTAAAGTGCCAGCCAGGGATTAAAAAACAAAAACAAAAAACAAAACAAAGAGCCAATCAAAGTAACTCTGCTGGTAGGGTACAGAAGAGACATAGGAAAGGACAGTTTGCAGAATATATGTGGTTCTGAAGAAACTACTAGTCAGTGGTTCCATTTTTGTTTCCATCAAAAATCAGACTGAAGATTCGAGGATCTTAGAGTTAGTAAAGGATGAAAGGAATTTGACAGTGCTTTGAACAGTGATAAAATGGTACCCAAATATGGTGTTTATACAGCTCATTTAAAAAGATAGCAGTTTAAAAGTCACAGAAAAAAATGTGAACATAGAAAACAACAGAAACAATCCAGGAAGATGATGCAGCCTGGATACAGCAAGTTTAATATCTCTGCTGTACACGGAAGTAATACCTTTCCCCTTCTCATCCTTATGCTGGCAATAGGATATGCACTAGAAAATTTGACTCTTAGAGTCAGTGAATAAAAGGATGAGCTCATACATCTTCATAGCTCTTTTTAAAAGGATGCTTATAATTTAAAGGATGTCCTAATGGAAAGACAAGGGTACAAGGGTGAGAGGCTGTTTCACATTTTGGTCCATTAGTCTTTGGCAGAGCCCAATCAAGGCCAAATTCACCTAGGATGCCCAATGGCTGTGGGGGGATCTCCACAGGGTCAAATAAGCAAACCCAAATGAACATGTTGGATTCAACAAAAACCAAAAAACACCCTAGAAACCCTTGAAGGAAGAGCTTCACCCTGAAAAGGGAAGAGGGAAATGCTTGGAGGGGAGGGGCAGAGGGCCAGCGTGTGATCTCTGCTGCGGTGCTGGGCTGGGGCTTAGGAGTTGAGCCAAGGGTGCCGGAGACAATCAGCGGCAGTGGCCCTCTTCTCGGGGATCAACTCCAACATGGGCAGTAAGAAATCTGTGAAACCAGCTGCCTCTTCCTGAGACCACTCATACTTCTCCACCAGAACCTCAAAAAGGCCCCAGGGTTTCAGCTTCGTGATGTGTTTCAGGTCACCTAAGGTAAAGAGAGTACAAAAGAAACTGACCAACACTGACAAGTGACAAGATCCTTTTGTGGAAATGCAGGAACTAATCCAGATAGTCTATGAAGAATCAAATTTTGCCATCAGAATCTAATCCTTCTCCATTCACAAAGCACATCTCTTCTCTAATGCATTCCTTGGAAAGAAGTGTCTCCATTTTTCACGAGGGCCTAAAAATTTTAAGTAATTTTTTTCTCCACCATTCCAGGATTTTTTGTCCCAATCAAATTGGGCAGGCCTATCAGGAACTAGGTATTCACTAAAATGAATATTAAATGCCTATATACTCAGCATGGTCTCATACGGTGTTCAGAGGCAATTTATCACCGCATACCAAGAATAATTTGCTTGTACTCTTTTTTTGGCTCAATAGTTTAGCAAATGTTGCTTCGAAATAAGGCAGTAATTAAAAAACAAAGAGCTAAAACTATGTCAAATGTATAAAAGTAACAAAACTAAAAGAACAAATAAACTTTCAGATAGAGCTGCATCACACTCTGTACTATTCTGGAACATTACTTTTTGCCTCCTTGAAACAATGTTTTTTTAAAAAGACAGTCAATGATTAGTGACTTGTTAAGGTAAATGCTGCTTTAAATTTTTTTTCTTACATGACACATACTTGAAGTCTCTACTGTGGGCAGTGAGTGCCTAATTACCTACTTGGTACATGCCATTAATTTGACTTTGCACACAAGGAAGAAACTCTGAAGCACTTCACCATTTTCCTGCCTCTAAGAGAAACATTAAGAAATGTTTCTGAGGATGCCTGCTGTCAAGTGTTGAGAAAGATGGTTTTTCTCAGCACTAGTGTAGAGGTTGTGAGGAAAAAGGGAACCATGGAAAAAAGTCCAGACAGTTTTCTAGTCCCTTCTAGGTCAGGGTTTCATACTTAAGCTTTTAAATATATTTAGAATGCATAAGAAATTCGTATTTAAATACGCCAACATATATTATCTAGGCAAAAATTTGAGGTGAGAGTTTTATCTTGTGTTTTCTTCACTAATAAGTGATAACATAACTTACGCAATTCAAAGTATAAAGTTAATTCATATGACTGATGTGTTGAAGTGACTGTGTTAGGTATCACGGACTACAAGGTGAGATGTAGTCCTGCCCTTAAAAAGCTGAAACTACTTGCCCTTTGATAGAACTGCCTCAGCAAAATCTGCCCATTTTTCAGAAGTCCTATAGTAGGAGTAATCAACCATGTGCCAGCTACTATCCACATAGTAACGAATTTAATATGAAGTAATCTCCATTTATAAAGCAGCAAACTGAGGTTGTGTCAAAGGCCACATAAGTAGTGGAGCAGCTGGGCAGTCTAGCTCCAGGGTCTACTAAGTCACAGCTCAGCATTCAAGGTAGGACCATCCTTCTGTATGTGTTGGGAACACGTACCCAAGCTGTACTTACCTCTTCATTGTTAAACACTTTTGTCCCCTTAATGTCTGGGAACAAACACATTTATTTTACCTTTTTTGGTGAAAAATTCCTTGGAATATTTTCCTGCCACAATGAGCTTGCGAGGCACCTTCCCCAGAAGTTCTATGATCAATGCAATGTGATCTGTATGTTTCAAACATTTCAAGAGGGGGAAAAAAGATATACATAACAGGGGTAACAAATGCAGTTCTAGATATTGGCAGAAAGAGTAGCATGCACACCTCTTTATAAAGCATTTCAGCTTGCTTTCTGTCCTAAATGGGAAGAAGAGGACTCTATCCATCTAATGGAGAATCCAGAAAACCATTAAAAATCAGGTACCCATGACTTGAGTGATAAGTAAAAACAATCTTGGTGTGAATGCTCTGCTTCCTGAAGTTGCATCCCTGGGGCCTAGATGAAAACTCATGTTAACAATACTATCTCTGCGATTGAAGAAGTCCTGTGAATATTTCCCACTGAGGGCAAAGCGTCTTGGAATTCTGCCTATCAGCTCTATAATGTGCGCAATGTGGTCTAAAATAGAAGGGTAAGAAGAACAGGATCAAGGACAAGCTGTAAAAGAGGTTTTTCTACGAACAGCTTTTTCAAGAACTAGCTGTTTAAAATTAAGTACAAATAAAACCGAGGATACTCAAGGGAAGCCTGGGAAGGCCAAGAATTATTTCCGGTGGTTTGTCACTTGATAGTAGTTGGCAAGTCCCATTCTGGAGTTCGGAGGCTTATCTATAATATTTTATTTCTATTTTGTCTATATCTAGGTCCAGGTGGGTTTTTCAGCTAAGCTACAAGAGTGTAGCAATATGCTTTAGACATTCTAGGACAGACATTTATTTATTTATAATAGTGCTCTGGGCTTCACAGAGTAATAATATCACTTTAAGAATGTTCATGACAAAGCACTCACATATGATCGAGTTTTCACAATCACCCTGTAAAACAGGGCAAAAATTAATACCCCATTTTAAAGGTGAAAAGTGGAACCTCTGGGAGAATGGCCTACTTGAAGCCACAAGGCCAATAAGAGCTAGAACTCAAATGAAAACCCCTATCTTATCATGTCTAGTCCAGAGGTTTTTTCGTTTTGTCTGTTTTTTAATTTAAAAAATCACATTATTAAAGAAAAAATGAGCACAAACATTTAAAGTATAGCTACTTGACTATCTTTGGCCACTAAAATGTTTACGTCATGTAGTGTCTTGTAACTATCACAGCAGGCATATGGACTGTGAGCACTGCCAGGGAGGTGGGCAGTCTGCCACCAGCAGACGAGCTTGGGACCAGCCAGCATCCACACCTACAGACAGGTCTATTACTTTTTCTGCAGGTGACAAAAAGTAAAAATATGAAGAGGCTTTAAAAAGTGATGGCTCCTAGCCACAAAACAGCTTTAAAAATGACTTTAATCCTGTAGTTACAGAATCCAGGTCAAAAGCAATCACTTAAAACTTCCAATAATGTATCTTAGAGGAAAATCATATGCTAGAGACATACACTTATCTGGGAATTTGTGAAGGTTTCAGGTCATATCTATTTCTCATGTAAAGGACTCAGTGGTGTCATTTTAAAAGAACTTTATGAATTCACTATAACTCTTGGGCAGTTTTTACTGAATTTATGGTTTGGTAACAAGTATTTGGCTGCCAAAAAATTTCTGCCATTTTAGGCAGGATCTGCAAGTAAATATCTTTGTATAAATTAATTATAAATGAGACTATAATTTGTCTTACTGTAAACTTCCAAGTAAAGTATTGGTTCTTTTAATATTTTTCCTACCAAGGAATTATTTTTCCCTTAAAATTGTTATATTACTTTAAATTCCAGCAACCTATCTCTGGCTTATCAATTAATCATAGGATTAATATATCTGACAGGCAAAATTATCAACTATTATTCCAAGATTTAGGGTTGTGGAATGTCCCTAATAACAGAGGACATGCTACTTAGGCCCCAGTCTTACCAGGACTTGTAACACTATGCATACACTAGCCAGGGGATAGGGTTTGCTTTTTCCTGCTCCTATGGGCCAAACAGTAGTAATCTGAGGTTTTATCTAAGGGCTGGAATAGGAGGGAATAAATTAGGATATAAATATCTAGGGTAACTGGTTCTCCCTTTTCCCTTACTTGAGTCTTTTCATATACATTTCAATTTTCAGGTTTGGTAGCATAAGATCCTGTACAATGTAATTCTAGCCACTATATGAGTCTGTACCACACACTATTTATAGGGAATCCAGGGAAATAAAGAGAAAAAAGTTAATTACCCTTGCAAACAGATATGATAGGGCATTTCTAAAATGATGTTAAGTCTACAGCCCCAAACTTATAACCCAGAAAAAAGCAAGCAGATAACAGGGAAAAATCAAGTGTGTACACAGGTAGTAATTACAGTAAAAGGGGCTTATATACAGAAAACATGTCCAAACTGTACCCACTAAAACAGGCATATGGCTATGGTGATTAGTTAGCAGAGCATTTTTCAAACGGTACTTATTAGGAATATCAGCAGGCCTTACTAACATTGCCTTTTGACATCCCAGGGGACCAGTTTGAGAAATAGCACTGTTGGTTCCATAAAGCAGAACCTGATTTCCCCAAGAATCAAGGAAAGCACAGAAAGTAAAAGACATATTTTCCTCATTGGGAGGGTACACTGGTAGTGCTCTCTCAAAGTAATCCCCATTAATCCTGAAAACAAAAGCACCAAAACTGTATAATAAAGAAGGTAAAACATTCCTTTAATAAAGTTTTCTTATTCACATTATTATTTCATCTAGTTACTTGAATGCCACTATGATTTTTAAAAAATCATCACACATTTAGTTGTCTGCTTTCACAGCCTCTCAGAACATCTGACACCTTGGGCTTTTCCCACTGGTATTGCAAAATATAAACCAATAATATTTTGTTTTAAAATGGAATCCAAATGTTAGTATCATTTAAAAAGAAAAATACAGCTTTAATTTTCAGAAAGGAGAAAAAAGAATGCTAAATGTTGTACAATTTATATAGACAAATAGGATATATTCTCTGCATTCAAGTAGTGTGTATCTGATAAAATCGACTTCCAAATAAAGTTGCAAGCATAACTGGGCAACAAGTTGATGAACAGGCAGATCTAAACTGGGTAAAGAATGAACCACTGATTTACACAGGAAGGAAAATGACTAGATGTTTTATAAGAAACCTGGCAAATATTGGTTTGGCCAAAAGGTTCCTTCGGGTTATGACGTAAGATGGCTCTAGTAGCACTTACCTGTCTTTAACTTCATTCAAAACAATTTTGTTAGATTGTATGTGACAGCTTGTCTTATCAGTGTGCGTTTTAAAAAAAGACATCAAAATTGGTGAATTTTTGTGAAAAAAGCAACATTTTCGGCATATTATGCTTTATTATTTCAAGAAAGGTAAAAACACAACTGAAACGCAAAAAAAGATTTGTGCAGTGTATGCAGAAGGTACTGTGACTGACAGAATGTGTCAAAAGTGGTTTGCGAAGTTTCATGTTGGAGATTTCTCGCGGGATAATGCTCCACGGTTGGGTAGACCAGTTGAAGTTGATAACGATCAATCGAAACATTGAGAACAATCAACGTTATACCACACAGGAGACAGTTGACATACTCAAAATATCCAAACCAAGCGCTGAAAATCATTTGCACCAGCTAGGTTATGTTAATCGCTTTGATGTTTGGGTTCCACGTAAGTTAAGTGAAAAAAACCTTCTTGACCGTATTTCTGCATGCGATTTTCTACTTAAATGTAATGAAAATGTTCCATTTTTAAAACAAATTGTGACGAGCGATGAAAAGTGGATACGGTACAATAATGTGGAACAGAAGAGATCGTGGGGCAAGTGAAATGAACCACCACCAATCACACCAAAGGCTGGTCTTCATCCAAAGAAGGTGATGTTGTGTACATGGTGGGATTGGAAGGGTGTCCTCTATTATGAGCTCCTTCCAGAAAACCAAACGATTAATTTCAACAAGTACTGCTCCCAATTACACCAACTGAAAGCAGCACTCGACGAAAAGCGTCCAGAATTAGTCAACAGAAAATGTATAATCTTCCATCAAGATAACGCAAGACCACATGTTTCTTTGATGACCAGGCAAAAAATGTTACAGCTTGGCTGGGAAGTTCTGATTCAACTGCCGTATTCACCAGACATTGCACCTTCAGATTTCCATTTATTTCAATCTTTACAAAATTCTCCTAATGGAAAAAATTTCAATCCCCTGGAAGACACCTGGAACAGTTCTTTGCTCAAAAAGATAAAAGTTTTGGGAATTATGAAGTTGCCTGAAAAATGGCAGAAGGTACTGGAACAAAAGGGTGAGTATGTTGTTCAATAAAGTTCTTGGTGAAAATGAGTCTTTTATTTTTACTTAAAAACTCAAGGCACTTTTTGGCCAACCCAATACAAGTTTTAGTTTAACCAACTGTGGCCTTTTCTCTAATTCTTATATAGAATTCTTTAATATCTATTATAAAATATCTAGGATACCTAATACTTAACATAAAATATATTTCTATCTTTTCTGGGACTTATATATACTTAGCACACTAAGAAGACTAAGGCTCTTCAGTACTAGCGAATTACATTAGCCACCGTGCACAGACATCCTTGGTTGAGGGGACTTACCTTCATCTCGAGTGTACTCTTCCCCTGAATGAGGTTCAAATAAATAGTCGCCTGTGGCCAGTTCAAAGGCCTAAGAAAAAGAGGAAAGCTTATGAAAGCATAAAAAAGAAAGACGTTTGGGAAGTTTACTGCTATTTGGCTCAATTTTAAGTAATTTTTTCTTCTTGGAAAACCTGCAAATGATTATTTAAAAAATTCTCTAAGATTATTCTTAAAAAGCTTTCCTTTCACACCTGTACCTTAATAAAATGGAGCAGGAAAACTGCAAAAACTCAGTTAATATCAATATGTGGATTATTCCAAGCCCTGTACACCCCAATCCTTCAATCAGTAATTCAGCTCTCTTAAGTTTCTCTTTTTGCTCAGAGAGGGGCATATCTAAGGTGATTCTAAGTTATTAAATTATTAATGAGATAAACATGAATAACTTATAACTTCACATGGCTAGAAATTAACATTCAGTATCTAAAATCAAAACCAAAAAAATTCAGACATTTTTCTACCTATGACTCTTCAGTGTTTGGTAAAAAGTACATTTTTAAAGTTTTGCTTTGGAAAAGCACTGTCCCAGATAGAGAGTCCCCAATTCCTAGGTCTACAGAAAAAGATTAAGTATAAATGGAGTCAGGAGCTACTCATATTGACCAGCAGGTTAGCATCCACCAACCAGGAAAGGCACATGTCCCCTATAACAAGAAAACGTCTTGTAAACAGTGATTGAGAGAGACTGAAAAAGTGATTTCCTCAGGAATAAGTGTCAACCAGTACAGAAGGACAGCATGTGAGTGATGGGGTTGTATTAATTTTTCACTGACTAAAAATAAACCAAGTAATTTAACAGCAGTTTTAAAAAGGACCTTATTGATACAAAAAGTACAGTTATAAGTCAACTGCTAGCCATGGGTCAGTTCTGGTTGACTCAATGGTACTAACCAGCCCAGACAATCTCAAGAACTGTGGAGTGGATTTAGTTGGGGCACATTCTCAATTCAGACCCATGTCTAGGTCTTGGTGGTTTGCCAGTGTTACGATAGAATAGCCTTTCTCAAAAAATGTATAACCTGGGCTGTACCACTACCCAGAGCAAGGCCACAAAAGCAGAAGTTTCAGGATTGTCTCTAAAATGTCAGAGATGCTGTGGCTTCTTGCTAGGCATAGCTTGTTTTACATGCTAGCAGTTTGTTATGAAACTGAACTACACTGATAGAACAGATACCTGTTTCACCCTCTAATTATCCTGAGGTTTACGGTCTCAAAGCAGAACAGAAACAATTTGTGATTCTTATTCATCAAAGTTTGTCAGTCTCTTCTGAAACCAGTACTTTAATTTTTCCATCTCATAGTGGGGGATTCAGTGAAGATATTAAAGCTAAAAAAAAAAAAAGTAGATAGTTTTCTAAAAGTTTAAAATATTCTAAAATTTTCCACCTAGATACTTATAACTAGTTACCTAAAGTTCTCTAAAAGAACTTTATTTTTGGAACATAAGGTAGTTGCTAGTAGTTACAATTTTATAAATAAGATAACAGTAAAAAACCAAACCAAACCGAAAGATCACAACATCAGAAATGAAAACTAGTAGAAACTCTAGATTACAAAACACCTAGTTAAACATCTTTCCTTTACAGATGAGAAAACTGACCAGAACAGAAAGGCCAAGTCCATCCTAGAATCCACGGCTCCTGGTGCCCACTCCTGTGCTTGTCTCACACTGACCACAGGGCCTATTTTACGTCAGTCAGGGTCATGCTAACAGACAGAGGCAAAATCAGGGAAGGTATGATAAATCCAGTGTGCTGGTACATCCAGATAATGGAATATTATTCAGTGACAAAAAGGAATGAGCTATCAAGTCATAAAAAGACATGGAGGAACCATAAATGATATTACAAAGTGAAAAAAAGCTAACCTGAATTATACTGTATGATTCCAACTATGACATTCTGGAAAAGGCAAAACTATAGAGACAATAAAAACATCAGTGGTGGCCAGGGGTTGGCAGGGGGTGCAGATGGATGAAGAGACAGAGCACAGAGGATCCTTAGGGCAGTGAAACTATGCTGTATGATACTATAATAGTAGATACATGTCATTACAAACTTGTCAAAATCCATAGAACGTTTGGAGAATTTTAAAACATCTATTCTTTATTAATTCTTAATGCTCTTCACAGAGCATTCCCTTCTTATAACTTTCCTTCTAACTTTGTAGTCTCAATCACTGAAGTGGCAGGCAATCTTTCAACTTGCCTTTTTACCTCAGAAAGGGTCCCAATCTTTCCATCAAGTAATTGTACTAGATGAAGGATGATCCATCTCTCCAGGCACTTCTGATATTCCAAGATTTATTTTTATTCTCTGAGTATGGTGAAATTTAAAGCACGTTTTCTACATCTATTAGCAAAATGAGAGAAATTTGGGGGAACAAATGGGCCTCAAGTTTTCATGATATTGTCTCAAGTCACGTAAGTGCTTTCCCTCCTTTGGTCAAAAAAATTCCTGCACGTGAGCTGGTCCAAAGAGGGGCCAAGGTTAATCCACCCCCCTTTCATCTTTTTTGCCTTTTTGCCTTCTTAAGCCTGACACTGTACATACTATGTTACACAGCAAGCAGGACCTACTGCCCTCAATTAACCCACTACTAAGAACCACATCATAATAAATCAGATGCCACCTACAAACTAGCTGTATTTTGTATGGCGGCATCTCTATCAATTATTTCCTCTACCAACTCAATCCAAATCAGATTCCTCAACACAAAGCTTTAAAGTGTGGCAAGAAAGAAGATTTTCTTCCAATGTTCTTTCATCTTGTGCACAATACCAAATCATCTTCAATTTAAACAGCCCTCCCCCTTAAAAGACCACAGACATGCCATAACAAAATAATTTAGAAGGTCATGCCATATTAACAACATGGTTTAAACTTTATTATCTTTGGAAGACAAAGGTTTTCAGGAATGTGGGCGTCAAAGAAATCTACGACACAAAACAGGTTGGGGCTTCTAGTCTGTCCTTTCTCTTTTAAGTTTTCCCCAAAGTTGACTATAAATACTAAATGTTAATTGAAATGACAGTTTAATATGTTTCTGATTTAGTTCACTCATTTGATGGTCCACAAATATTTATTAAGTATTACTGTATACTAAAGAATTTGTTTGATCTTGTTCCTGTTTCCCGGGAGGAAGCCTCTCAACTCTTGGGCTTTCCAAGTGATAAACGCGCCTTTTGTTATTCATGGTGGGCCCCTTTGGACCACACTTAAGTTTATACTGATGAGGTGACTCATAGTGGGCCCCTAGACACAGTTTCAAGAGGGGGGCTGGATATGCCACCAAGTTGGACAAGACCAACTGTGCAATTAGAGGGTTGAGGCTTTGGGCTGAGTGTTGTCAAAACTGACCTCCCAACCTCTCAGGAAGGGAAGGGGGCTGGAGACTGAGTTCAACCACATGACCAATGATTCAATAAATCATGCCCGAGTAACGAAATCTCAGTAAAAACTTTGGGCACCTAAAGCTTGGGTGAACTTCCCTGGTTGGTGATACACACTGACGTACCAGGAAACTGATGTGTCCTAAGAACACCTTTGGTACCCTCTCAGACTTCACTGTATGCATGTCTTCATTTGGCTGGTCCTGATTTGTAACCTTTATATCAAAACTGTAATGTTTTAGCACTTCCCTGAGTTGTGTGAGTCATTCTAGCAAACTACTGAATCTGAAAGGACAATGGAAACTCCCAATTTGTAGCCAGATGGTCAGGAGGTACAGGTGGCCTGTGGACCCCAGAGCTTGCAGCTGGTGTCTGAAGTGAGGGTAGTCTTGTGGAAAACTATGCCTTTAATCTGTGAAGTCTGTGATAACTCTGGGAAGTTAGCATTAGCAGTGCATTGCACCCCCTCAAAATGTCCCAGGCCCTGCACCAGACACTTAGCTATACATTATAGACATGGTTCCTGCCAGTACTTAAAATGAGTGGAAGAGAAAAAAGTAAATCCACAATTACATATTGAAGAGTACACTCCACTTCAGGAAACAATATAATATGTTCCAACATGAGGCTATCTGTGGGAAGTCATTTAATATCAGCTAAGTCTGACTACTTGAGTAGTTGCCTGACAAGGACAAAGCAGCAACTTATGAATCCATGGATGACTGAGCTTCATATCCTGTGAGGTGCAAAGACGGCTGAGTGACTGCTAAACTGTACAGAATGAAGCAGTTTCCAGGGTTTTCCCTAATCTGAAAATAGATCAGAGCTGAGGGCAAGGGTAAGGGTAACTTCTCCTCATCAAAAGCAGCACCGCGTCTGAGCAGTTGTTTTTAGCCGCCCCGCAACCCCAATCTGTACTGGGAAACATTTGGTTCCTTCACCTAAGAGAAATTTGGCAGGAACCAAACGGAATGTCAGATGTTTGTAACTAAGCTTTTAAATTCAGACCTCCCCAGACACGGGATTCAGAGTGCCAGTGATGAGTCAGAAAAAAAAATCCTTTTCTGTTTGTTAATCCACTGGTCTACTGAAATTAGCAAATTACCACGTAACAAGTTAAAGTCAATGGGAAAAACATTACCATGCACGCTGTGCTCCAAATGTCAGCAGGGGTATTATAGCCAGATCCTATCAGAACTTCCAAGGAGCGATACTGCCTTGTCTGAATATCTTCAGTGAAATGTTTGTGCTGAGTAAATGAAGAAAGAAACAGTATTTTAAAATTCCTTTATTCTAAAAAGTAACAAGTCATGATTGCTTAATGATGGAGATTAAAATAAGTTCACCGAAGTTCCCATGTGGCTAACTTCTTAAGTATCATTTAGATGTTATTAGCTCCAAACAGCACTTTTCTTTATATGCTGTCTACTCCAAATTATTTCTCTAAACATGAGTCTGAACTTAATATAGATACACAGGTTAGGGAATAACAATCACTTTTTAAGAAATGGAAACCTATTACCCCAAACAAAAATTAAGCTGTTCATTTGTCTAAAATTAATAACTTGTATTTCAACAAATAAATGATACAAATTTAGGTTCAGTTCAAACTCTTCTTGCTGTGTGCTCATTATAGGAAAATAAAAGATGTAAGTTTCAAGTTTTAAGAACCTTATAAACACCACCTATAAAGACTTCTTGCTCTCATTCTCTTTTGCCTCCCTCACTCCTCCAAAAATATCAAACACGAATCTTGGGGAAACAGAGACCATGTTAAGCACCATGGGGATGCAATCAGCAAAACGTTTCTTTAACACATGTATGGGAAAGAAAGGGAAAACCTCTATATAAAAGCAACTTAAGAGACACAGTACCCAGTCTGGCATTCATGGATTTTATTTGGATCTTGTTCTAAACAAACAAAATTCGAGGAATGTTTATGAGATAACTGGCAAAACTGACTGAATATTTGATATTAGTTAACTGTCAACCTTTTTAGGTGTTAACAATGGTGTCATGGTTACCTAAAAGAATCACTTTTTAGAAAGCCATATTTACAAATGAAAATAAGATGCCTGGGATATACTTCAAAATGATCTGGAGTGGGTGTCAGGGTGGGGATATAGGTGAAAAACAGGCAATGAGTTGATAATTGCTGGGTGACTCTAGTATAACAGCAGGGGAGTTCATTCCACTCTCTACTTCTGTATAGGTTTGAAATTTTCCGTAATAAAAAATAATACAGAAAAAAGAAGCTTCAAATGAGTCATACACAGGAAACAAAATTCAGATAATATTAAAACATGTAGTGTGAAAGATGATTTTCTAATCCTATTAAAATTTTAAAAAACAAACAAACAAACAAACAAGGAACAGCATTTCTGAACAGGAGAAATTAGGCAGAGAAACCTTCAGGTAGAAAAACCAGCATTGACCAGAGCTCCACAGGGTACTGGACTAAGTTTGCAAAAGAGCAAAAAGTACTTCAGGTGGAGGGAACATCATAAATAAAGGCACAGAAAGACATTTGCTAAAGCCAAACATAGCTAACTGCTAGGTTGAAGAGTTTCAATTTCATTTGGCAGACAAGAGAACGCCACTGCACGTTAGTAAACAGGACAGTGTACTGTAAGAAGACTGATAGGACCTCTGAGAACACCATTCCAGTAATCTTCTGGTTTGTGGCCAGATCTAGGCTTAGTAATGAACATCTGAACAATGGCTGTGGAAATAGGGAAGGAAGAGTTAAAACCAAGGACATTCACAGAAAGAATGAGCACAATTTAAAAATTCAATTCAAGTGGGAGACAGGAGGAAGAGTCAAAAAGAACTTTGTGGTAGAGGCTGTTGACAAAAACACGGATGGAGAGATTTAGAGAGGGAAGTGGTTTTACAGGAAAACAATGGGTTCAGATACTGAGTTTGAAATGGAAATGTACTACAGGCGATACAGTTAGAAAAATGAACATGCTGTTCAAGGGAGTTGTCTTTACTCATCATGCCTCACTACTGCCTTACAAATACACTGTAAATGATAAATGAGGTCAAGAATCAGCAAAAGTAAAGAAGGTGGATTGGAAACATACACATCCACTCACTCCTGAAACTCCACTTTTGTAGCGAATCCAGCGTTAATTTTTTTTTTTTTTGGTACGCGGGCCTCTCACTGTTGTGGCCTCTCCCGTTGCAGAGCACAGGCTCCGGACGCGCAGGCTCAGCGGCCATGGCTCACGGGCCCAGCCGCTCCGCGGCATGTGGGATCTTCCTGGACCGGGGCACGAACCCGTGTCCCCTGCATCGGCAGGCGGACTCTCAACCTCTGCACCACCGGGGAAGCCCCAGCGTTAATTTTTTTTTTTTTTTTTTTTTTTGGTACGTGGGCCTCTCACCGTTGTGGCCTCTCCCGCCGCGGAGCACAGGCTCCGGACACGCAGGCCCAGCAGCCACGGCCCACGTGCCCAGCCGCTCCGCGGCACGCGGGATCCTCCCAGACCGGGGCACGAACCCATGTCCCCTGCATCGGCAGGCGGACTCCCAACCACTGTGCCACCAGGGAAGCCCCCCAGCGTTAATTTTTAAAGCATAAACTGACAAAGACAGAGAAGGCAAAGGAGTCAGAGCAATACTATTTAGAAGCTGGAAAGCAGAGAGATCACTGGCAAGTGTCTTAATGGATCCAAGAAAGCTGAATAATAAGCCATTGGTGAAAGCGGAGAAGCAGTGTGAGGTATTCCACAGTAGTCCTCCCATGGCTCAGGATTCGGTGGTATCAGGTATCTCTGGAAGTAGCGGGGAGGGTGGGATTCAACAAAGGAATACTGCTTTAGAATATCTTTTAAAGAAAGAGAGCTCCAGAACACAGGGCATGATGCAGTATAACAGCCTTTCCCTGGCCTGACAGACACTTAGAGGTTTTCTCTGGAGTGGGTAATACAGTTTCTGGAGGATGCTCGGCATGGTTGAGGGAAGAGTACTATCCTGAAAACAGGGAAATTAAGTGACTACGTGTAATTGCATGTTGAACCCCAGTTTTCTTGCTTAACTCAGTTTCCAAAACACTAGCAGCCAGGCATTCACTCCCCAGGTAAGAGATCTGAGGAAGACTGTAAGTTTTCTGCAGGAAGTATGACCAATCCAAGACCCTGACATCTGAGGATGAAATGAAATAGCTCAGACAAATCATTTTATAGTGAATGACAGTCAACAAGAACCACCCAGGCACAAAGCTTCCAAACAGCTTTCTGGCACTCCATTCATATGGTCAGTTTTTTGTTTAATGATCCTGAACAAAGAAGGCAAGAGACACTATGTAAAGAAGAAGAGGACTTCCCTGGTGGCGCAGTGGTTAAGTATCCACTTGCCAATGCAGGCGACATGGGTTCAATCCCTGGTCCGGGAATATCCCACATGCCGTGGAGCAACTAAGCCTGTGCGCCACAACTACTGAGCCTGTGCTCTAGAGCCCGTGAGCCACAACTACTGAGCCTACGTGCCGCAACTACTGAAGCCCACGCGCCTAGAGCCTGTGCTCTGCAACAAGAGAAGCCACGGCACCACAACAAAGAGTAGCCCCTGCTCACCGCAACTAGAGAAAGCCCGCATGCAGCAACGAAGACCCAATTCAGACAAAAAAAAAAAAATCAGACACTTGTGAATTACAGGTTGATAAAATGAATATTTAAAAGAAAAAGAAGAAGAAAATGTCAAAAATGAAAAAAATAATCAATATCCTCTCAGAGATAATCAGGGAACCAAAGAACTCTTGGAAAGTAAGGCTATAACAGGAGAAATAAGAAAAAATAAGGCTTAAAAGAACAAGCTGAGAAATCTCCCAGAAAATAAGCAAAAAGAAAAATACTAGAAAATAGGAGAGAAAGAAAATGAGAGAACCTGCATAAATCTAACATTTGAATAATGAGATTTCAGAGCTAGAGAATTAAAAAAAAGAAAAAAAATCAAGAAAGAATCAAAACCAAAGAACCAGAGTTTCAATACTGAAAGTGCACACTGGGTCCCTTAGCTAATTGATGAAAACAGACCTCATGAGGCACATCGCTGTGAAATGATCCTGCAGACTTTCACAGGGGAAAAGGCTTCATACAAAGGTCCAAGAATCAGAATGACTTTGGTCTTTTAGCAGCAATAAGACAGGAAACTAGAAAACAACGGAGCAATGACAAACATTCTGAGGGAAAACGATTTTCAACCTAGAATTTTACATGCAGCCAACTGAGTGTAAAAACAGAATAAAGACATTATTAGACATACAAGCATGCCCACTCCCTCAATTACACACACCCTTTCTGAGGAAGCTACTAAAAGCTGTATATACTTCAAACAAACAAAATAGGGAGGGTGGGAGATGCAAGAGGGAGGAGATATGGGGATATATGTATAGGTATAGCTGATTCACTTTGATATAAAGCAGAAACTAATACACCATTGTAAAGCAATTATATTCCAATAAAGATGTTAAAACAAGCAAACAAACAACAAACAAACAAAAACCATGATGGAGTAAACCAAGAAAGAAGATCAGAGAGACAGGAAACGGGATATAAAAATAGTCTCCAGGACATTTATGAAAGGAAATCCCAAGTGGCAGTGATGCAGCAAGCTACAGGGCAACCCAAGAGATGAACACAAATTAGCAGAGCACAGGTTCCAGGATAGAGCTCTTTAGGAAGAAAAAGTTGAAACAATACCCAAGGTATCCATGTGTATTAAAGTGTAATCATAGCACTGGATCAAAGTGTGGGGTGGAATTAAGTGATAAGTAATACAAAGACAACTAAGCAAATGAAACACAGTGCTAGGCAGAAAGGGAAAAGGAATCATACCACAATATATGCTTAGTTCAGCTGAAGACAGCATTAGAGTCCTAATAATGTAAACATGGAGTCATTTAGCCAAGTCATATTAAATTGACAAGATAGGGGATGGTTGTAGTGGTAGATAAGTCCTACTTTCCAAAAGGCAGAAATACCTAAAACTGGAAAAAAGAATTGGAAGCAATATACCCAATTTATTTATTAGCAATGCGAAGGTAAATACCCTCATGTGGGGAGTGACAAATTGGCAAAGGGAGGGGGGACAGATTTTTGAATCAAAATCTATGTAAGTGTCCCTAAACTATATATGCATGTGCATAACTGATGAGCAAAAGTATAATATTTAAAAAAATCAAACTCTTTGAAAATCATGTAAAATTCCATTACCAAATACCACACGCTGCTGTGCTTAAGAGACCAACAAGGTATGAGAGTAGACCAAGATCCAGCAGGACAAGGCACCCATGTCCAGTTCACCACTGTCCTAGTGCCCAGGTCAGAATATGTACCCATATATTTGCTGAATGAATAAATCGATGAGAAGAATGTAAAGTCATTTCAGCACAGAGACCCATTAAAAAATGTATATAATAGTTGAAGAGAGAGAGATTAATTCTGTTGTAGTAAAAATAACAGGAAAGACTGCACCCAAATAAAGCAGAGTATGCCAAATGCATAACGCAGGCATGAAGGAAGGTGTTCCAAACACAAAGGCAAAGGAGCTTGAAACATGATGTGAGCAGAAAACTGACAAACATTTGAAGTTTATATCATGTGATATTTGTTACAGAGTCAATATTTTCCTCTGTAATTGTTTTACTTAAATATTTAATGAGCACCTCCTATATATCAGGCACTGTTCTAAGTACCATAGATACAGCAGTGAATGAAAAAAATCTCTGCTGTGATGGGACATACATTATAGCGAGAGGGATATTAAACAAACAAATATCTAGTATCAGATTGGGTTAAGTGCTGTGGAGAAAAAAAAATTGAGGGAGGAGGGGAAGAAAAAGAAAATGGGTGTAAAGAGTGGTGGTTTGCTAATTACTGTATGTTAGGTGTTCAGGGGAAGATCTCCCTGGTTAAGATGACATCTCAATAGGAACTTGAAGAAAATGAAGGAGTGAATTATACACATTATCTTGGGAAGAGAATTCCAGGCAGAAGAAATAATAAGTGTTTTTTGCTTGGTGGTGTGTGGGCCATGGTAGGGACTTTGGCACTCATTCTGAAGGAAGCCACCACAAGGTTTTAAGAATATCTGATGTGACTTGCATTTAAAAGGGTCACTCTGAGAGCTATGTTGAGAACAGTCAGTAAGAGGGAAGGACAACAGAAGAGAGAAGTGAGGAGGCTAATGTAAGTCACCCAGGTGAAAATATATGGTGGCCTGGACTGTCTGGTGGCGTGGTGAAATAATTCTAATCCCTTGAAAAGCTTTTCTACATTTCTATCAGTCAGTGCTAAGCACTGACTTCATTTTTTCCACAAAGTTATCATAATATTCTAGAATCGATATTGAAAGTGAGATCCTTCTAGGTTATGAACCACTAGATATAGGATGTCATGTGGAATAGGGAATTTGAAGTACAAAAGTAAACCTAAGACCTATTAAAGTGGATTTTGCCTCAAACTGTCTCCAATATCCCTGTTTACAAAGCATATAGCTCTTTGAATAGTAACATTTATGTGCAAATCATTCTACTGTAGATTTTTTAAAGATACTCATTAAAAATAACACAAAAGGGCTTCCCTGGTGGTGCAGTGGTTGAGAGTCCGCCTGCCGACGGAGGGGACACGGGTTCGTGCCCAGTCCGGGAGGATCCCACGTGCCGCGGAGCGGCTGGGCCTGTGAGCCATGGCCGCTGAGCCTGCACGTCCAGAGCCTGTGCTCCGCAACGGGAGAAGCCACAACAGTGAGAGGCCCGCGTACCGCAAAACAAACAAACAAACAAAAAAACCACAAAAAGCATTCTTAACTAGGTAAACAACAGTATTAATATGACACTATACGTCAAAAACCTCCTTTAAAAAAAGTACCTAACTTCTGACTTAGTAATTTCATGTCTAGGACATCCTAAGGTCAACTTCAAAAGACTCATGAGCAAAGATGTTCATCACAAAGAACTGTCAAGAGTATGTAAAGGTTATAGTATACTGGCAAATACCACATAACCAACTGAATTTGATGTAAATTTCTGGTTGACAAAAGTGTTCGAAATATATTAAATGAATTAAAAGGTTACAATTAATAAGTTAGATGCTGATTTTAAAAATAGGGGGAAAGTATGAACGTGGGTATTGAGAGTAAGAAAGTCAATGAGGATATAGATAAAACAAAACCAGCCAGGAGTTGACATTACTGAATCTGGGTGACAGGTACCTGGAATAGGGGCAGGATCATACCATTCTCTCTACTTGTGTAAATGGTTAAAAAGTAAAAAAAAGTTCACTAAAATGTTAACTGGCAATTTGGGTATAGAACTGCAGATGTTTTCTTCTTTTAGCACAACTAAGTCCAAGTTCTCATTTATCCCCAGTCACTTCAAAAGACTGAGACAAGTTTCACTTACCACCCAACAGGCATTTCCAAGATCAGCAATCTTCACTTGGAGCTTTTCTGCATTTTTTGGCTCAAGGGGATTAACAAGAAAATTTCCAGCAGTGGATTTTCCTATAGACAACAGGTATCATCAATAAGACTGTTCAATGAACACAGAAATAACCAAAGGTTAATGAAACTCTACGAAGTAATTCACCCAGGTCCCCAACTGGCAACCTACAATAAATTTTCTAAAATAAACCAAGTAAAGCAACATCCTGACTTCCCAGAATTAAAACCTCTGCCTTCACAGCAACAAGTAAAATGCTGTATACTCACTGTTTAACCAATAAAAATCAAACTGAGCTACACATTTACACATTGAAGGTAACTTGGACACCTGCTGTAAAGCTATATTTATAACAACAATGGTACTTCTATTTTAGAAATTCATGAAAAATTTTTTTCTGTGTGGTGAATTTAAAAAAATTGTATAGCTGATTTACAACATATTAGTTTCAGGTATAAAACATAGCAACTCAGAATTTTTATAGATTATAATCCATTTAAAGTCACCAAGAAGTAATGCTATATTTCCCTGTGCTGTACAATATATCCCTGTAGCCTATCTATTTTATTATATATGGTAGCTTGTTCTTCTCAATCCCCTACTCCCACCCCTCCTTTCCCTTCCTCCCTCTCCACACCGGTAACCACCTATCATTCTCTATACCTGTGAGTCTGTTTCTGTTTTGCTGAATTCATCTGTTTTATTTTTTAGGTTCCACAGATAAGTGATAACATACATTATTTGTCTTTGTCTGTCTGACTTATTAGAAATTCATGAACATGTTATGCAGGGAAGGAGTACTGGGGAAGTACCTTTGTTGTCTAGTGGTCCATTATGTTCTTGCTCTTGCTCATCTTCACAGGGTATCTCTGCTCGAATGCTTTCTTGAAGTTGGCTAATGTCCTGTGCACTGAATGACCGGTCTACATTTGACGAAGACTGGCACATCATGGTATCTGACACCTCAGAGGTTACAGGTGTACAGGAGTCTGTTTCTTGAGATGTGCTGCTGTCTCCATTTTGGGAACTTAGAAAACTAGGTTCCTGCTTCAAATTTTGGACATCACAGCCATTAGCATTATGTAGATCCTCTTTAAGCCTCAATGTTTCTTTATTATTGTTCTCAGTATAATTAACGACTTCAATTACTCCATTGCAATTTATTTCTGCTGCACCACCCTCTACACCATGTTCCGTAAGTGTCTGATCCTGGTGAATGGTACTTGACTCTTCTAAGGAACAAAGACAAAAAGGACGTACGTGTATGCATATGTGTGAAAGAACAAAAAAAATCTCTCCACAAGATTAAAACGTTTTCTAGAACTTATACAGGGTGACAGAAAAACATGACTGCACATCTAAAATCTATTTATGAAAGGACAAAGATCTTCTTATTCTTACCCAATTGCTAAATGAGGTCTACGTTGCATTTCCTGAGAAAAGTTAGAAATTACATTTGAATATTACCTACCTAACATTTATGACAAATTCTGTATTCTTACTGTGTAACGACACCCCCAGAGATGTTGTATATGCATGAAACCACTATATTATAAAACAATGATAAGTTAAAGTTTGCTATAAAGTAATTTTTGTGATGCTCTATTTATACCAAGTTTTTCTTGGGTCATTTTATTAGGTGGGTTCTCTTTCAAGGGTCTTTCAACAGGACTCTCTGATTCTTCTTGCTTGTTTGGTCTTTTTTGCCCAGGGCCCGACTCTTTCTCCATTTCCTCAATTTCCTGCATTCGCTTCTCTAGTAATTCTGCCTGGCGCTTCTGCTTCTTCTTCAATTTCTTCTTCTTATTCTTTGACATTTTGTCAGCCTGGGCAGAGATTACAAACAGATAAAGCCTTCAGGTGGCTAATCCATTATCCCCAGTTGGAGATAACTTACTTTTAATTACTTCCTAATTAAATTCCACTCTTGTCCTAACATAGCACTTAAGCTTTTCATTAATTTAAAAAATGTAGATACTCTTAAGGAACCAAATTAAAACAAAATTAACAACAAATCTTGGTCCTCTGAACAGTCTGTGGGGCTGGTCCACTCTCAAGCTCAAATTTATGGAAACCTCACCAGTACAAACTTGCTGAAGATGCACAGGAATTTATTGGAGAAAATTATAGAAGTGCAGGAATATTGTTTTTTTCTGGTTTCCAAACTCTAAATAAACTGTGATCCATAACAGAAGAATCCCTGCCCATTGCCCATAGATCAGAATTAAATATAGGAACACCTTATACTTACTGGTTTAGGCTGGGGTGCAGTACTGACTGAAAAGAAAAGAAAACCAAGTAAGAATCCTTGCATTCAGCAGGCAATATAAACTAAGACACCCTACCAGAATGAAAAGTCTTTCTTGTACAGTTTATATTGTAGAGAGAACTAGTTTTTAAGCAATTTTGATAGAAGCAACATTTTTTTTAAAAGAACAAACAATGCATACAAAAGTCAACAAACTTAAAATAAATTTTAATAAATTCTTCTCCAGATAGCATCACTATATGCAAAGAACCAAGTCCTCCTTTCTGATTTACATCATTAATGCTGCTAAAAACTCATTCCCACGTACTACTTAAAACAGAAAAGGATAGGCAATAACCCTCTCATCCCCACCCAGGACTAATTCTTCCCTGTGACACTTGTCAGTTTTAAAAGGAGAGTGGCATCAAAAGCTACAGTAATTTATTACATAGCATGTTATGGATATTAGTTTAGCTTAGGTGGGAGGTAGAATCTTCAGTCTTCCTTAAAAAAAAAAAAATTTTTTTTTTTAATTGTGGTAAGAAACTTGTAATATACAATTTCCCTCTTAACCATCCTTAAGCATACAGTTCAGTCGTGTTAATTTCACACAGTGTAACATTTCTAGAACTTTTTCGTTGTGCAAAAATGAAACTCTATGCCCACTGAACAACTGCCCCTTGCCCCCTTTGTAGGTCTTCTTTTTTAAAGGAAGTCTCTGGATAATTGATATTTCAACTTGAGGATCAAGAGAGTTCCTCAAATATAATTAAACTACTAAAATTAAAATCTGTACCACAAATGGAAAAAAATCATCATAATCATAGTAGCCACCATTTATTTAATGCATAACACTGTGTGGCATACTACTAACTGCTTTAACATGAAATTTAATCCGAGTAACTCCTGCATGAGAAAAAAGAAGTCAAATCATGTGCCTAAGGTCATTCAATGAATGAAGCAAGGAGTCAAAATAGGTATGTCCACTCCAGTGCTTAAACCCAAGCTCTTACTAGCAATGTTATCTTGCCCCTGCACAGGGATCACTGATTCACATAGGTGAGCATGTATGAACATCAAAAAAGACCATCAAATCACAAGAGAAAACATTTTAACAACAACACGAATCAGCTTTTACAATACACAACGTATCTGGACCTAAAAGGCACAGTCTTCTTCCCCTATGGGAATAATACTGAGTATAAAAAGTCTTTTGAAGGCTGGAACTATTTCTTATGTAAGTACTTATTGTATCTTACTGTTAAATGAATTAGTGGTGCTTTACTTTTACTTAACTGTCAGGTAATAGAATAAAAACAAGAACTTCTCTTAACTTCTAATGAAAGTGAAGTCCCCAAAGAAAATATACCTGCAGATCCAGAAGGTGGAGGAGCTCCAGATCGCTGCCATTCTGTTGCTTCTGCAGCCAGCCTCCGGATGTACTGTTCATTCACTGACAACAAGATGTTTTCTGGTTTAATGTCAGTGTGGATGATACGGCACTTGGTGTGTAAATAATCCAGACCCTGTAACACCTGAATGGGAATAGAGTAGTAGACTTGCAAACACAAAATACAAGTCTTTCTGGAGAAGGAAAAAATCACAATACAACATTTTGAAAAAATAAAAATGATATGGTAGTTTTCTACAGAGAAGAAAGCATTTTTTTTTAAAGCACAACAAACTTCCCCAGAAAGATTAATTGTAAACTAGGAACAAAGGCAAGAGTTTATTTACAATAAAAAGTTCTTCAAAGTTTTACAAAGCTAATTCTATTTGAAGATATTTATTGAAACATTACAGAGACGAAGAATAAACAGTTGACATTGTCCTTTAACTACTGAAATATAGGTCATGAAAGAGATTTAGGTATCTTTAAATTCAAATTTCCTTGTTGATGAAGAACTGAGGTCTCTTGCTTCCCAGTTTGGAGCTCTGTCCAACAAAACACATTATCTAAACAAACTGTTTGCCCTCTGAAGTATTACCACTTTCCTGATGACAAACTTCTTCACTATATATTGAAAGCTGTTTAGAATATGAGAAAATGCTCATGAATAATGTTATATAAAGAGACGGTAATAATTTGACAATTTTCTATTAATATATAATCAATTTTTGCAACCAGAACTTCTGGATAAGGGCTCCAAATTTCTAAAATCAGGCATTACACTCAGCTCCCCATCTAATAATTATTACAGAAGATGAACCTGGGGGAAAATGATTACACTAAAACATTTAAAAACAGAATAAACACAATAAATAGGGGCTGAATAAATAATTTCAGCAATTAAAGAAACCTAGTTTTAAAAATAAAAATTCTACTGGAAATAGGAAACTCCTGACACTCTAAGAATCTAAAAAAATTACCACATAAAAACTATTATGTATAAAATAAATAAGCTACAAGGATATACTGCACAACACAAGGAATATAGCCAATATTTTATAATAACTATAAATGGAGTAAAAGCTTAAAAAAACCCCACAACATAGAAAATATTACGATACATACTTGCTGAATAATTTTTTTGACACAAGGCAAAGGAAGCCCTTGATAATTGGACTTGATGATCCACTTGAGCAGATGATGCCCCAAAACTTCAAACACCATGCAGATATCTAGGAGCTTGTTAAGGAGGAAAAGGGAGACAGAAGAGAAGAAACGGGGCAAGACAAGCTGTGTTCCACCTCAATGAAATTATTATTGTACTCTTTCAGTATAAAGAATTATAGAGCTTGACTAAAAAAGAAAATGTAGCTGTCAATATTCTGACATTCTAAAGGTTAATTAATGCTTTAGTCACAGAAAATACCCAAAATATGGAAAACTCTGGGGTGCTGGTTTATTAATAAAACTATGCACATTAAAACACTCAGTGATAAAAATAAAACATATACATAAAGTTAGTGAAAGCACTAGGCTTAAGGTGTTGATTAGTATCTTCCCTGATGTCAAAACTAACGTCCAGGGTAACAACGCCTACTCTCATAGTATCAAAGCAAGGAAAAATAAATTTGGCTTTAGCGAAAGAAGACAACGTACCAAAACGAGATAAAAAATGTAAATGTCAACATTAAAAAAAAATAGGAAACTAACTTGCTTTATGCTCTTTACTTTACAAAACTAATCTTGATTCTACTGCCACCATGTGTTCTCTTATGTATGAACACCCTAATCACGCCTCATAACAGGAACACTCTTTGGGCATGGTAGTGCCAGGGCTAGGGCACTGCAGGGATTTTAGTCAGAAGATGTTGGTATTTTCGACCTCTAGAAGCTTCTACATAAATTGGGAAGTCAAGACATACATATGTAATAATGATCTAGTGCTCAGACTTTTTTTTGTTTTTGTTTTTGTTTTGCGGTACGCGGGCCTCTCACTGCTGTGGCCTCTCCTGTTGTGGAGCACAGGTTCCAGACGCGCAGGCTCAGCGGCCATGGCTCACGGGCCCAGCCGCTCCGCGGCATGTGGGATCTTCCCAGACTGGGGCATGAACCTCTGTCCCCTGCATCGGCAGGCGGACTCTCAACCACTGCGCCACCAGGGAAGCCCCAGACTTTTGTTTTAAATAAGATTCTCCACTAAAGGAAAACCTGTACTCCTTAAAGAAATGGCCAAATCCAGGGAAAACCTGGAATACCTTGCTGTGCCAACAGTAAGGGAACACGTCAGGAGGAAAGAGCAACCAGCTTGAAGAAGCCACTGGCTAGTTAAGAATCTGCCTGCCAATGCAGGGGACATGGGTTCGAGCCCTGGTCCGGAAAGATCCCACATGCCACAGAGCATCTGGGCCCGTGCACCACAACTACTAAGCCTGTGCTCCTAGAGCCCGTGCTCCACAACAAGAGAAGCCACCGCACCTCAACGAAGAGTAGCCCCCGCTTGCCGCAACTAGAGAAAGCCTGTGCACAGCAACGAAGACCCAACGCAACCAATAAATAAATAAATTAAATAAACCTATTTTTTAAAAAAAGAAGCCACTGGCCAAAGTTGACATTTTAAAGAGTGAAGTTATGAATTAGCTTATAAATTAAAAACAGAATGAATCCAAATGGGATACTAAAATAAGTGTGTGTTCGGGGGAGGAAAATGTCTTCTTCAGAGAAAAAGTCAACTAATAAATATATAAAGTATGACAGAAATAAAAAATTACCATTTTATCATCATTATAGTAATAACTGAACTGATTCAGATAAGAATCAATGAATACTAAAACTACTAAGTGAAGATTGCTAGGGGAAAAAGAATTCTCACAGTGTCACACTATCACCCCATAGGTTGCTTATTAATTATAAAAGGAAAAAGATACTTTTAAACAGGGAAATTGAGCAGACACTGCCTTAACCATGTAATCAAACATATCATCACCAATGATAAGCACAAATTCACATTATGTGCCCTCTGATGTAATACACTGAGAAAAATAAAACATCATCCATGTAGTATGCTTCACAAAAATGATTAATGAACTTAATCATGACGAAATAATCAGACAAATCCAAATTAAGGAACAATACAACTGGCCTGGATTCTCTGGCCGGTGGGGTGGGGTGGGTGAGTGAATGCCATGAAAGGAACCGTTCTTTTTTTTTTTTTTTTTTTTTTTAGGAACCGCTCTTAATTAAAGAAGATTAAAAACGGGACATGACTACCTCAGAAAATACAAATCAAAATTACAGGATGATACTATTTCAAACTCAACAGAATAACTAAAATAAAAAGACTAACATGACCAAATGTAGATGAGCATATGGAGCAATTAGAACTCCCATATTATGCTAACAGAAGTATAAAATGGTACAACTACTTTGGAAAACTGGTTGGTAATTTCTTGGAGTTAAACATACATCTAGGAACTTCTGCTGCAGTCAAGATGGAGTAACAGGGACTGGCTTAACCCTCTTGCTTTAAGCGACAACAACAAAATCAGACAAAATACATAAAACAACAGATTTAAAGACCCTGGACAAAGAAGATCTCCCTGAGAGATCATTGTCTTCTAACTGTCTTGAGACTCTCCAAGCAAACCCCTTGAGTTAAACAGACGGAGCTGAGAGTCCTGGGAGATCAAGGCAGCAGCTATGGTTCACAGAACAATACTAGCGAGGAGAGAGCTTCAAAGAAAGAGAACCCTGGAGATCTAAAAAGGGATCCCCCTCAAGTATTTAGTACAGTAGTAATCAGCGTAGGTATAAGAGGAAACTACTAGAGGGGAAAAAAATCATCTGAAAGGATTAGAGGGAATAGTGCCCAGCATTCTCACAGGGCTCCAACAGTATCTGCTCTCATCAAAAGGACGAGAAAAATTCAGTTATAGTCATAGGCCAGAAATAAATCCACACATATATGGTCAATTAATTTATAACAAAGGAGCCAAGAACTTACAATGGGGACAGTAATTTCAATAAATCATGGGGGTACATGACTCTTTTTGAATTATGGTTTTCTCAGGGTATATGCCCAGTAGTGGGATTGCTGGGTCATATGGTAGTTCTATTTGTAGTTTTTTAAGGAACCTCCGTACTGTTCTCCAAAGTGGCTGTACCAATTCACATTCCCACCAGCAGTGCAAGAGTGTTCCCTTTTCTCCACACCCTCTCCAGCATTTATTGTTTCTAGATTTTTTGATGATGGCCATTCTGACTGGTGTGAGATGATATCTCATTGTAGTTTTGATTTGCATTTCTCTAATGATTAATGATGTTGAGCATTCTTTCATGTGTTTGTTGGCAGTCTGTATATCTTCTTTGGAGAAATGTCTATTTAGGTCTTCTGCCCATTTTTGGATTGGGCTGTGAAAACCATAATTCAAAAAGAGTCATGTACCAAAATGTTCATTGCAGCTCTATTTACAATAGCCCGGATATGGAAACAACCTAAGTGTCCATCATCGGATGAATGGATAAAGAAGATGTGGCACATATATACAATGGAATATTACTCAGCCATAAAAAGAAACGAAATTGAGCTACTTGTAATGAGGTGGATGGACCTAGAGTCTGTCATACAGAGTGAAGTAAGTCAGAAAGAGAAAGACAAATACCGTATGCTAACACATATATATGGAATTTAAGAAAAAAAAAATGTCATGAAGAGCCTAGGGGTAAAACAGGAATAAAGACACAGACCTACTAGAGAATGGACTTGAGTACATGGGGAGGGGGAAGGGTAAGCTGTGACAAAGCGAGAGAGTGGCATGGACATATATACACTACCAAACGTAAAATAGATAGCTAGTGGGAAGCAGCCGCATAGCACAGGGAGATCAGCTCGGTGCTTTGTGACCACCTAGAGGGGTGGGATAGGGAGGGTGGGAGGGATGGAGACGCAAGAGGGAAGAGATATGGGAACATATGTATATGTATAACTGATTCACTTTGTTATAAAGCAGAAACTAACACACCATTGTAAGGCAATTATACTCCAATAAAGATGTAAATAAAAATAATAATAAATCATAGGGGGAAACCTGAACAGCTACATGCAAAAGAATGAAACTGGACCATTATCTTACACTAGACCCCAAAATCAACTCAAAATGGATTAAAGACTTGAACATAAGACCTGACACCATAAAACTCCTAGAAGAAAACACAGGTTGTAAGCTCCTTGACATTGGTCTTGGCAATGATATTTTGGATCTGACACCAAAAACAAAGTCAACAAAAGCAAAAATGAAGAAGTAGACTACATCAAACTAAAAATCTTCTGCAGAGCAAAGGAAACAAAATGAAAATGAAAAGGCAACCTATGGAATGGGAAAAAATATTTGCAAATCAAAGATCTGATAAGGGGTTAATTATAAAGAACACATATAACTCAATAGGGGGAAAAAAACAAATCTGATTAAAAAATGAACCAAGAATCTGAACACATATTTTTCCAGACAAGACATACAGATGGCCAACAGGTACATGAAAAAGTGTTCAACATCACTAATCACCAGGGAAATGCAAATCAAAACCACAATGAGATACCACCTCACAGCTGTTAGAATGGCTATTGTAAAAAAGACAAGCGATAACAAGTGTTGGTGAGGATGTGGAGAAAAAGGAGCCCTTGTGCACTGTTGGTGGGAATGTAAACTGGTACAGCCACTATGGAAAACAGTACGGAGGTTCCTCAAAAAAACTAAAAAGAGAACTACCATACATTCCAGCAATTCCACTTTTGGGTATTTATCCAAAGAAAACAAAATCACTAACTTAAAAAGATGTGCACCCCCATGTTCACTGCAGCATTATTTACAATAGCCAAGACATGGAAGCAACCCTAGTGTCCACTGATGGATGAATGGATAAAGAAAATATGGTCTACATATACAATGGAATACTATTTAGCCATATGAAGAAGGAAATCTTGCCATTTGTGATAACATGGATGGACCTTGAGGGTGTTATGCTAAGTGAAATAAAACAGAGAGACAAATACTGTATGATCTCACTTATATGTGGAATCTAAAAACAAAACAAAACAACAAACTCATAGATACAGAAAACAGACTAGTGGTTGCCAAAGGTGGGGGGTGGGGGAAATGGGTGACAGTGGTCAGAAGGTACAAACTTCCAGTTATAAGATGAATAAGTCTGGGACTTCTCTGGGGGCACAGTGGTTAAGAATCCGCCTGCCAATGCAGGGGACACGGGTTCGAGCCCTGATCCAGGAAGATCCCACATGCTGCGGAGCAACTAAGCCCGTGCGCTACAACTACTGAGCCTGTGCTCTGGAGCCCGTGAGCCACAACTACTGAGCCCACACGCCACAACTACTGAAGCCCATGCGCCTAAAGCCCGTGCTCCCCAGTAAAAGAAGCCACCACAAGGAGAAGCCCGCGCACCATAACGAAGAATAGCCCCACCTCACCACAACTAGAGAAAGCCCACGCGTAGCAACAAAGACCCAACACAGCCAAAATAAATAAATAAATAAATGAATTTATTTTAAAAAGATGAGTAAGTCCTGGGTGTGTAATGTACAGCATGGTGACTATTGTTAATAATACTATATTGTGTATTTGAGAGTTGCTAAGACAGTAAATCTTCAAGTTCTCATCACAAGAAAAAAACTGTAAGTATGTGTGGTGATGGATGTTAACTAAACTTACTATGGTAATCATTTTGCAATGTACACAGCTATCAAATCATTATGTTGTACACCCAAAACTAATACAATGTTATATGTCAATTATATCTCAATTAAGAAAAAAAACTAGAAAAATTCATAGTCCTGGAGCATTGGGTAGATTATTCAGAAGACCTTGCCTCAGTAGAAGGAATGATTAGCCCTAGACTGAACACTGCTCTGGAGCCATCTAACAAATGATAAAAGTAAAATCTGAAAAGGGTCAAACCGCTTCCAAGTAACAACTGCACCCCAGAACAAAGCTCAAGATTTATAGCTATACAACATATCCAGCAGCCAACAAGGTAAAACTCACAGTGTCTCAATCAAAGACTACCAGGCAACAAAGGTGAAGGAAAACGTATCTGAAAATTAGATACAGTAATAAATCAATCATTTGAAATTGACCCAGAACTGACCCAGATGTCAGAATTAGCAGACAAGGAAATTAAACAGTTATAGCAGTATTCCATATGTTGAAAAGAGATACAGAAGATATATATAGAAAAAAAGAGATGCAAAGATGATGTGGTGTATATATATTAATGGAATGTGACTCAGCCATAAAAAAGAATGAAACCTCGCCATTTGTGGCATGGATGGTTGAGATGAGTGAGACAGAGAAAGACAAAACTGTACGATTTCACTTAATAATGTGGAATATAAAAGACAAAACAAATGAACAAACATAACAGAAAGATACAGAGAACAAACAGGTGGTTGCCAGAGGGGAGGAAGGTGGAAGGAGGAAAGAAATAGGTGAGAGAGATTAAGTAGTACAAAACTCCAGTTGCAAAATAAGTGAGTCATGGGTGTGAAATGTACAGTGTGGGGAATATAGTCATTAACTATGTAATATCTTTGTATGGTAACATAAACTAAGTAGACTTATCACAGTGATCATTTTGAAATGTATAGAAATATCAAATCACCACATCGTGCACCAGAACTAACATAGTGTTATAGGTCAATTATACTTCAAAAATAAACAAACAAACTCAAAAGAAAAAGATCAAATCTGTGGTTACCAGAGGTGGTGGTTAGGGGAGGGGAAACTGGATGAAGGCAGTCAAAAGGTATAAATTTCCAGTTATAAGTACTAGGGATATAATGTACAATAAATATAATTAACAATGCTATACGTTATATATGTAAGTTATTGGGAGTAAAGTCTGAGTTCTCACCACAAAGAAAAATATATTTTTTTCTATTTAATTTTGTTATTTTATGAGATGAATTATTGTGTGATAATCATTTAATGATGTATGTAAGTTAAATCATTATGCTATATTCCTTATACTTATACACTGCTGTATGTCAATTGTACCTCAATAAGACTGGAAGAAAAAAAAAGAGAACCCAAATTGAACTTCTGAGATGAAAAGCAGAAAAATACCCTGGATGGGATAAATGGCAGATTAAACACTGCAGAATGAGATTAGTGAACTCGAAGGTATAGCAATAGAAACTATCCAAAATCAAATACACAAAGAAAAAATAATACAAACGAACAAATAAACCCACCCACCCACAAAAGCCGCAGGGGCAACTTCAAGTGACCCAAAAAAAGGAAGCAGGGGAAAGGAATGAAGGTATTTGCTCTTTGCAATGGATCAAGAAATCATAAAAGTGATGGCAATAATTAACCCAGTAGCAAAGTGTATACCTAGTGCTTAGATTGTGTTCCCCATTTCCCACTCATAGGAATTAGGGCTTTTTAAAGAAATGGCTGACCCCTGGTTTGGGACAGGAAATGCACAAAATGAGCCTGGAACATTCTGATGTGCCAAATCATAAAGGAACTGTCAAAAACCTTGTGGCTCCTGACTGAAATTAAGAATAAAAAAACTAAAAGAAAAAAAAGTATGAGACATTTGGAGAGACTGAAACACTGACTAGAAAAAAGGACTTAAGAAACTGATCCCCAATTTTTTAGGAATAATAACTGTGTTGGGGTTATATTTTCAACTTTTTAGGAATAATAACTGTGTTGGGGTTATATTTTAAGTCTTTGTCTTTTGGAGATACATTCTAAAATAATTATGGATGAAAAAATATCTTTAAGATTGGTCACAAAATTATCAGGAGATACAGACAAAACAAGACTGATTATGAGTTGATAACTTCTGAAATGGGTAATGGATCTATGAGGATTCATCAAACTATTCTACTTCTGTATATATGAAATATATCAAAATAAGGTATTTTAGAATGCAGATTGATTAAACAAACAAACCAGAACACAGAATTAAGTTATTTTCATGTTCCTAGCTTTAATATTAACTTTCATTTGTTGAGATTACAATTTGACAACAATGTTATTTTAATTTGTAAGCGGTGACATAAAAATGACCAGACATTCAGTAGCTTAAAAAACAAGAAGAGGGCTTCCCTGGTGGCGCAGTGGTTGAGAGTCCGCCTGCCGATGCAGGGGACACGGGTTCGTGCCCCGGTCCGGGAGGATCCCACATGCCGCGGAGCGGCTGGGCCCGTGAGCCATGGCCGTTGAGCCTGCACGTCGGAGCCTGTGCTATGCAACGGGGGAGGCCACAACAGTGAGAGGCCCGCGTACCGCAAAAAAAACAAAAAAGAAACAAGAAAAAAAAAGCCTTCTTGCTTACGGTCAAATAAAGGTACTCAGCATTACTGAGGAGACTATTCAGAATATTTCTACAGTTTTACTATAATATTACCAAATTAATAGGAAAATGTGGCACAGTGAGAAACATTACAAGGTCAAGAAATAGGGAAACAGAACCCAATGGCCATCATGACATCCTGTATGGTTTTATTTCATGGTTAGCCTTCCTCTTAATTCTTTGAAAACATGCATACCACACACACACACACACACACAGAGTAAGCCATCTATGAAATGACCACAACAGACGTAAAATGATGATTCACATGGAATGCTTCTTGTACCAGTTTCCTTAGAGATTTGGGGAAGGGGGGGATTTGATTTATATTTCTCCAAGGAAGTAAGTAACTGAAAACTAACTTCAGAATGATAGATAAAATCTTTATGTTATCACCTGTTCTCTCTCCTTTCTCATCCTCTCTCCTTGCTTCTCTGTTCAAATCTCTAACCATATAGTCCACATGATTAGAGATGGGCCCTATGTAGCCCATCTCCTTAAAAAAAGATCATCACTGGCAATTAAAAATGTGTGCTAAGAGAAGATAAACATGCAGGGAAAGTAGAATGATATATGCAATGTCTTTCCTCATACATTTTAAAATAGTTTATAAACAGGTTTCAGACTCTCCAATCCAAGTGAGATTCTTCTTCATCTTTCATTCTGAAAAATGTGATAGGCCTTTACAAGCATAGCTGTCGCAACAACTTTTCAATTATTTCCGTGCATGTCACTCTGATATTAACCTGTGGGGAAAAGAATAGCTAACATTCCTTCCAACTTTAAAATTCTAAAATTCCGGATCAAAACATAAAACAAGTCAGTTTTTCCATTATGACAGAATGTGAACAATTACACCTGTTTAGATTTTAAGCATACATGTACAGCCTCTTAAATACTGAGATAAAATGCATTAAATTCTTGTTTACCCAGTATTTCTTTCTTTCTTTTAAATTTTAATTAATTTATTTATTTTTGGCTGCACTGGATCTTCATTGCTGTGCGTGGGCTTTCTCTAGTTGCAGTGAGGTGCAGGGGCTTCTCACTGCGGTGGCTTCTCTTGTTGTGGAGCATGGGCCCTAGAGCGCACGGGCTTCAGCAGTTGCATCTTGCGGGCTCTAGAGCATGGGCTCAGTAGTTGTGGAGCACAGGCTTAGTTGCTCTGCGGATCTTCCTGGACCAGGGATCGAACCCATGTCCCCTACATTGGCAGGCAGATTCTTAACCACTGGACCACCAGGGAAGTCCTTTACCCAGTATTTCTCATTAACTCCATTAAAATTTCTGCACTAATTGATAGAAATCATAGAAACTACTTACTAGTACAAGGTTCTTTTCTTAAAACGTTTCTTTTGGGTTTGGTTTTAATTTGCCTGAAAAAAGTGTAAAGCCAATAGCCTAAAAAATCACAACATACAAAGGGAGATCTGATTCATATCTGTGTTCAAAAGTTGACAATAAAATAAAGTAATTTGATTATAGTTTGTTTTGAGAGAAGAGACCAATGCTACCTGTACAAATCTTGTTCCTTTCTTTGGGATAAAGTTATTTCATGATTTGTTTTCAAATAGGTTTTAAAAAGGATACGTGTTCCGTTAACTCCTGATATTTTAAAGTCATCTAGTAGTTGAACAACCATTTCTCTATTTGGATCATTAGGATCTGAATTGCGAACCTATAATAGGGAAAAAACAATGCTTAGCAAAAGGGAAACCATAGAAATAAACCAAATGGTGGTGGGGGAGGGGATACCTGCAGCAAATATAACAAAGGATTACTCCAAGAAAGAGCTCATACAAATCTATGAGACACACATAAAGTTTTAATAGCTCAAACAAAGAACTTAATATAAGCAGTTCACAAAAGAAAACACAATCAACAAAGACTATTGTTTAATTATACCATTTTGCTACTCCCAAATTAACTGCTAGTTACCAGGCCAGGAGGAATTCAGGAGCTTTTGCAGGATGCAATCAACCATAGCACTAACCATACTGTTTATTCAGCCTTCATTTTTTTTTCATAGAAAAACTTTCTGAGGGAAGGAAGCAGTACACTGATTTACTTTGGGGCATGAGCTCCTTATCTCATCACAGACTGGCACTTTGAAAAGTACTTCCTTGGAGCTCTCCTGGTCTAGCTTCCTCACTTTATGAATGAAAAACCTAAGGCTCAGAAGAAATAAAAAGATGAGGTGAAGGATATATTTGGATAGAGCTGGCCCTAAAACTCATGTTTTCTAACTCTGAGTTTAAGCTCCTTCTACTACACTGACATTTACTAATTTGTAACAAAAATGAAAATGAATTTTGATAATATTTACCTAAGTTTCCAGGTAATAAAGGGAATTAGTAAATATAGTGCTTACTTTTATATATTTGTATAAGATTTTAAAACAAAAATATATTTATTCACACAACTTTTCTTTTAACCATAGCAGGAAAGAAAAACATTCTTTGTGCTATCTGGCACATAAAACATACTCAATAAACATTTTTGTTTATTTGCAAGGTTTTTTTCCATTGTATATGTAGGGAGAATTCCCATCGCAGCATATTCCACCAGTTCCCTACCACATACACAGGATATGTAAATACTGTCTTCCTCTACCTCTTTAAGGATACTAGAACTTTACAGTAAAAATGAGCCATGCCAAAGAGTATACACTTGGTATATCTTAACTGAATAAAACTTTATTTATTTATAATGCTTTGCAGCTCACACATACAACCTAATACTTACTGATTTCAGCAACCGGATTTCATCAAGTGCTGTTTCGGTATAATGTTCAGCACTTTTAACTACTTTCATTGCCACAAACTTCTTCCCCCTAAGAAACAAACAGGCAATTAAGACTAAATGCTCTACCTCTATGTTAGGAAGCTAAGATTTAACTATAACTGGGAGACAGCCACAGAAGTACAAATATTGATTTCATATTTCCCTGTACTCAAACACGAACTACTACTATGGGATCACCTGTACCTCTTAATAGCTCTAACTGGCCAAATTTAACTTATGAGAAGAAGAAAATCTGTTCCTGGGTAATGTCAGTCACCAAACATTTCCTCTAAGTTAAAATCTACTTTCTGAATGCTCCGTGAATCCAAGTAAAACCATGAAGTGGGGATAAATAAGGGGGAAAGCTCCACCAAATCAGAAGTATTCTGTATATCTGTATAGCGAAACCTAAAAGCTTAAAAGCTATAATACTTTCCTCTAAGAAGCCAGAAGAAATACTTGGGTGAAAAACTGATAAAAAATTAAGCACATAGATAGCAACTGCTATCTCACCAAAGATAGATGGTACACTTTTAGGTAAACATCCAATGTTAATTGCCTGTGATTTTTATGTAGAGAAGTTTTACACTGTATGGCTGAACAAATCTGTTATCAAAACAAAATACAAAAAAATAAGTAATTTCACAAAGATTGGTCTAGGGCATCATCTAAAAATTTAGCTCTACTAATGAGAAAACCTATGAACTTACATACTACACTTTCTTTGGGTATTTGCAATATTCTGAATTCGGGAGTTTCAAGCGCCTTACCGATACTAATTTAATCAATCTTGTGTCTCCTCTAAGCTGACTCTTCATCCGAGAAAAGTCATTTGCCCAAGAACATAAAGATTCTCAATAATAAGATTCTTATCAAAAAATCAGTCTAGAGCTTAGACTAAAAGTGGAAAATCAGACACAAACATTTAGGAATCACCTAATTCTCTTGCAGGATCGCTAAAACTTACTGAATATCCCATGATAACCACACTGTTGAAAAGTGTCCCCAGCCCAACTTTCGGATCACATGATATCTCCCATTGAATAGATCTCCGATTTTCACAAGATGATAACCTCCTGGAAGAAACAACAGGAAGCAAATAGTCACTTAAGTAGTAGGAAAAGGTATCTCACACCACGTTTTTCAACATCTATACACCTTTTAGCAAATAAAAATGGTTTCTTCTAACACAACCAACTCAACAAAAGAAAATATTAAGTCAGCAACACAGTATTATTGAGCTCATGTTACAAAAAATATCTTAAAGAATAAGAGTAATGATTTAGAGTGAGCAAGTGATGCTTTGTGGAACAACCAATAATTACTTAAAAAAATAAGTCATCCTCAAACAAAAATAAGGTTATGTTTCACAACATTCTTGCCCCTCAGTAATCCAAGATTTATCTAACATATAAATCTATTTTGAGACTAGTTGTAGTCTCAGGATGTTTTTTAGGAGAGAGATGAATGAATTCCATTTATTTAACTTTAAAAAAAGAAATTGCTTTTCTAAAACATAAAAACTAGGAAGGCCTGAAAAGGCTGCCAACAGTGGCAGGAATCAAGGGATTTAAACATGCATCTCTGTGCCTACTGAGAAGAAGAACCAGGTTCTCCTCAATGGTTAAGAGATATTCTGTTATAAAATCCTACCCAAGAATCCTGCAAAATTTCATAAAAGAAACAGAAAAGATAACAGGCAACCTTATGACACAGTTTAAGTATACATATATAATTCCAGTTTAATGTATCTTAGCAATCATCACTTTGAGCAAAGAGTAGTGAAAGGTGTTTTTCAAAAGTCTACATACCAAATCTTACCACTGGCTATATCTGGGTGACAGCATTACAGACGGCTTTTGTTTTCTTTTTGTTTAACATATTTCTGAAATTTTCTAAGGTAAATATGCACTATCTTTTTTAAGGAGTAGAAACAAATTTAATTTAAACTAAGCTTTAATTAAGTCAAAGTAAAAGGAAATACTAATTCCTATACTTAGAGAAAAGGATGCAATAAGCAGAAAGCATCAATACTGTTTACGCTGATAGACCAAATATTCACATGAAAAACTGCATATACGTGGATCACATCTTACTTAGTATCTCCTCACAGAAAATCTTACCTTTACAATAATCATTGGGATCTTCCTGCTCATCATCATCAGATCCCAGAATCTCCTCTTCCTGCTCTGGGAGATCACTCTCAGAGTGGGGAGCAGAGCCTCGGTGCTGAGTTTCAGATCTAAGAAATAATACAAACATGTTCATTCCATATGGACAGAAGAAGACAGGACCAATTAATAGATACTACAAACAGAATGTTATGTAGTGGCAGCCTAAGAAAGAAAACATTACCTATCACTTTACCTCATGTTAGGAAAATATTCATTTTTAAAAAGTCAGTACATGATTAAATAAAATCTGGAAGATATACAAAAGTACAAAGGGAAAAAAATTACTTGAATCTCAATATCCAAACAAAATTGCTGATAAAACTACTAGACCTTCTTCCAGTTATTTGCTGTATTTTTATAAAAATATATATCGGTAATCACATGCTTTATAAACAAATTTGTATCTGGCTTTGCCTATTATACTGTAAACTTTCCCCCTCATACCTATGCAATCTATTAAGTCTTACATATTTCCCTTAGAAGTATCACTATTTACTCTGGTACATTCTGCTCAGCTGGACATTTGTTTCTAATTTTTCACTACTAAAAAATAAAGCTGTTGAGTATTTTTAGATAATCTTTATTCTGTATTTAGAATTATTTCCCTAAAGTTAAACTACCAGATAAAGATAGAAACATTTACCCTATTTATAAAAATAACATGTTAGGACTTCCCTGGTTGTGCAGTGGTTAAGAATCCGCCTGCCAATGCAGGGGACACGGGTTCAATCTCTGGTCTGGGAAGATCCCACATGCCGCGAAGCAACTAAGCCTGTTCGCCACAACTACTGAAGCCTGCACCCTAGAGCCCACGTGCCACAACTACTGAGCCCGTGCACTGCAACTACTGAAGCCTGTGCGCTCTAGTGTCCGTGTACCACAACTACTGAGGCCATGTGCCACAACTACTGAAGCCCACGTGCCTAGAGCCCATGCTCTGCAACAAAAGAAGCCACCGCAAGGAGAAGCCTGCGCACAACAGTGAAGACCCACTGCAGCCAAAAATAAATTTTAAAAAAAATGTTAAATGTAGGAAATTTGGGAAATAATTATTTTGTTAGATCTCTACTCTGAACATATGGACTATTTCCTTCCAGTCTGTGGCCATGAACAGTTTTTAGGATTATTACATAGTATGACTTTTCTGATAGGGTTGTAGTGAAATACATCTCCAGCTACATATGGGCTTCCAGTATTTATTTAAGTATTACTAAGTTCAGAAAACTTAGCTTATTTAACAGGTAAAAATGTTATCTCGTTTTATAATGTATTAAACACTTTCAAATTGATTCCTTTCTCTACATGCCGTCTATTAGCTGTATCAAAATTTTTGAGCACTGAGTAGTAGTTCGGGAGGCAGAAAGACTTGGAACTGTATTCAGGCTCTGACACTTATAAGCTGCCTGCTTCGTAAAGCTTTAAGCAAAAAAAACAGTGTCCAAAGCACTCTTTTCAGTAGTTGTAGGAAAAGGAATTTTAATTCCCATTTTCCAGTATTTTATTTGTGTTTTCAAACCTGTTTCATCAGATTTTTTCAAAAGATTCAATTTAACAGAAAATTATAATAGCAGAATCAGTTACATGGGCTGTTGAGACATAAGAAATACCTTGGAAAGCATGACTAGATTTAGATTTCTGGTGGCCATTCCAACCTGCCTCAATTCTCGGTACTTTTTTGTCCCCCAGGATACAAAAGTAGTTATAAAACTGCATGATTCAATGTGTTCATTCTCAGTGAAAACATGTCTTTGGGAAATTTATTCAGTATGGAACTACCTGGCTTACTCTCCTAAGTGGAAATAATGAGTCTGAATGAACATTTCCAAATTTATGATTAAGACATGTTTCTGAAACAAATTCTCTGATTTCAAACTTGTTGCCTTTTACAATTAAAATTTCATTTTAAGAACTACAATTGAGAAATTTTTGAAAAGTAGTGAAATATAAGTAGCGAAAAACAGACATGAAAATGCTGGAATATTACAATTCCACAAGTATCATGGGAGTAGTAAAGTTAAAATTTTATTTTTTAAAGGTTCGCAACATTTTTGGAAGAATATGTATTTGTTTAGTTGTTTTTAGTTATAAAACCGAACATTATTAAGTATCATTCCCAGTTCAAGGATTCAAAAAGGAATTATAAGTTCCAGGTCTCAATGTAAAATATAAGTCTCTATCCTGACCATGGCTGGTACAGAAGAAAATCCTGTCTCATTCTAAATCAATAAGAGAAACTGATCAACTAAGGGGGAAAAAATCCTATTTTTAACTTTTAAATTTCATTAAAAAAATACACTTAATTTATATGTATTAATTTTAAGTACATACATAATGTCTTAAATGTTGTCATCTCTGTGTGTGTTGGATGTCCTGTGTCCTCAATCCCACAGTCTTCCTCTATCTTGATTTACTCCATTTTCATAGTGCACATTTATCAGTAACTTCTGGAGAATGAGTGCATGGGAGGTAAATTTATTAATATCTGTCCTATCTTTATTTTATTTTATTCTCATCCTTGACTGCCAGTCTGGATATAAAATAAATTGCTCTGTTGCATTCTAGCTTTCAGTGGTGCTGTTGACAAGTCCATCAATGCCTTCTGAGCTTTGAAATAGGGCTTGTTTTTCTCCCTGGAAGGTTTTTGTTTGTTTTTTGTTTTGAAGGACCTTCTCTTTAATCCCCATGTTCTGAAATTTCCAGAGTGGCTTTAAAAAAATCCATCTTGCTAAGTACTTTCTATGTACTTGCAAAACAGAGATTCATTCAGGTAAGAAAATTTCCTGTAATTCACTGAAAATTCAATCTTCTTCATATTGCCTACTCTCTCTGGAACTTTCCCCCCCACCCCAGATTCTGGATCTACTGGCCTACTTCATTAATCTTCTTAATATTTTCTCTTATTTATGCATCTTTAAGTTTTTCATTCTACTTTCCAGATTTATCTTCCTAACTTGCATTATCCTTTAAATTTCTACCGTATTTTCCCATACTTTTTTTTTCTCTCTAGAACATTCCTTTTCGACAGACTCCTACGCCTTCTTTTCTCTTCCCTATATGATTTATAGTTTTTAAGTTTCCTTCTGATCCCTGCATTGTCTTGGCTTTCTCAAACTGCCCATGTTTTACTAATGCTATGCTTTTATGCACGATGTCAATCAATGAACATCAGACAACTGAAAAAAGCCTCTGTCAGAGGAAGGTAAAAATAGCCTGTCAACCACAAGCCCCTCATATTAAATATTGCCTTTTAATGACATCCTCAGTCTAATTTTTTCCCAGCCTCATGCCAAAACACACACACACACACACACACACACACCAGTTTTACTGACTAAAGGTCCCAGTTTTAGACATAAAGAATAGATTTGTGGTTGTCAAGCAGGAGGGGGTGGGAGAGGGATGGGCTGGGAGTTAGGATTAGCAGATGCAAACTATTAAATATATAGAATGGATAAACAGTAAGGTCCTACTGTATAGCACTGGGGACTATAAATATCCTGTGATAAACTATAATGGAAAAGAACATGAAAAAGAACATATTTATATGTATAACTGAATTACTTTGCTGTACAACAGAAATTAACACAACACTGTAAATCAACTATACTTCAATAAAATAAATTAAAAAGCCTCTGCCAGAAAAAGACAAAAACCAAAAACAAAAAGAGAAAATTTGAGAAAACAGAGATAGTTACTATTAGATAATGAGGATAAGACGATGACGAGTAAAGAGCTCAAAATCACTATAACTTTGATTGATGGTTGTTATAAGAAAATAGTATAAAAACTCTGAAGAAATACTACAGAAAGAAATTTCAGCTTATTAACATTCGAAACTGAAAACAATTCTTCCTAGAACAAAAAAGGAGAGTTCTAAAATAGTTTCAATCTGTGATTTTAAACTCTTCATATCTATTTTCATGCCTCAAGTATTTGCTATTCATATTCAGAAGACAAAAACTGTATCAGTACTTTAAAGCTCTCAAAGCATATAAAAGTTAACCAAGTACATCTATAAAATCTCTAATATAAACTGAAATGGACAACAGATCAAATTTTAATAGCAGTATGCTTCCAAAGGAGTCAATTTATAACCTGATCAAAACACCAGAATGTTAGAAATAGGAATATATCTGGTTGTGGTACAGAACAGAGCCAAGGCAAAAATCTGGGAGAAAGGCAGAAAGTAGCGGAAAAGCTTGACAGATTTGACACAGAAACTCTGGAGTGTGAACAAAGAGATGATAAAAGCCAAATTAGAGTGTCTTCTCTTATTTCCAAGGGTCCTTTCAAGATTCCATTTCTGGTATAATCATCACTAATCACCCAAGTAAACAGTAAAACCAAAGTACCAAACAAAAATTTACTGAATTTTTTGCAGCCAAATATTATATATTCATAACTATCATAAATATGCTATTTATGAGTTTTCACTTAAACATTTCATGAATTTATATACTCAAACTAGCCACGTGAGCTCCCCACTCCCCTGTTTTCTAAAGAATAAATGAAGAAATTCTTATAGCTCAAAACAAAAACACCCTGCAAACTCTATTCTAACTCACTAAAATTGGTTTATAACCTACTAGTGGGTTGGGTTTGAAAAATACTGTCCTAGAAATTATCTTTCACTTCTTTAGTGAGATATAATTCACATGCCATAAGCTCACCAATCTAAAGTGTACAGTTCAGTGGTTTTAGTATATTCAGAGTTGTGCAATATCACCACAAACTAAATTTAGAACATTTTCATTCCCCACCCCCACCCCAAAAGCCCCAAACCCATTAACAATCACTCACCATTACACTCTTCCCCCAGACTCTGGGAAACACTAGTCTAGTTTCTGTCTCTATGAATTTGCTTATTCTGCATATTTCATATAAACGGAATCACATATTATGCAGTCTTTTGTGACTGACTTCTTTCACTTAACGTTGTTTTCAAGGTTTATCGATGATATAGGATGTATCAGTACTTCACTACTTTTTATGGCTGAATAATATTCCATTATATGTATAGACCACATTTTAATTTATCCATTAATCAGTTGATGAATATTTGGGTTGT